GACGTATATAATTCCACACTAATCGCCCTTAGCTCATTTAGGCGTCACAAAATTGATGTCAACCCTCTTTGATAAATGGCAGTCGGATCCGGAAAAATTATTTTATGTGTGTGTTTGTCCCCTGAAGTCATCATCGAACTCTCGGACCCTGGCACCGAAGCCGATAGATTGAGCAACTTTGCCACTTAGGCATCATATATAGTAGTAGTAAGATAGTTAATTGTTTAACATTAGTATGTATACCTACTACACTCTTATTATACTAAATTAATGCTAAATTATGCGCGCAATCAATAATAACGTACCTTGCCAATGATAAGCAAAATTTCTGTTGATATTAGTACCAAAACATGTCTCATTTTGAGATTCCATTTCGACATTTTTGTACCAAAAATTGGGCCGTGTGCCGTTTCGCGCTGTAATGTTCCGGCACCATTCGTCCACGTCCAAGGATTTTCGGAAACCCAAGCTTTGTGTGAAATTAAGACCATCAGGATTCGTCAATGGTATTAAAAACCTAAGAAAAATTTTGCATGTACAAATCAGTTGGAAACCAATTTATGGTAATAAGGAGAAGAATGTATATTCGCTAAATCGTTACACACTTTCTTTTACTCTGTGAAGTTAGTTAAAACAACTTTACTACAAAAAAATGGTGTTTAGGTGATATCATCTCTGTTGCGGATCTCTTAACTTTCTGGTTGATAAACTATGTATTATTTTTGCGTGCTCTACCATGATTTTAGGTATACAATTACAAATACATACATAAGTAACAACATACAAATAGTTAAAAATGTTAAACTAACCAATCGTAGTCATTAAAATAGGGTGTTTGATAATTACTGTGATGAAGTAATCTGTCTGACAACTCAAGAATAGCATTCGTAGCACCCCATGTCATTCCATTTAATGCTAAAATTTAAAAATCACCATATGAATGTCATAATGAGTAAAATTACGTAATAACATCATTTATATTAATATCATAATTCCAAATACGGAACTGTGATAGGGCCACGCAACAGCGGCGGCTGTTGCACGTCCGGGTAACTACTACGACCTCACAGAAGAATAGCGTGAAGTAGAAGCGTCGTACTTGTGCGTTTCGTCTGGTGATTGAGGTAGCCGTGGCCCGTTTTATTTAAAGGTATGCATCTATAACCCTGGGGGTGCCGGGTGTTGCAAATGTCCATGAGCGGTTATCAATTAACATCAGGTGACCCGCCAACTCGCTTGCCATCTTCTTATATAAAAAATATACGAGTACAATGTTGACTTGATTTTGATTGAGGCTTGATCAGATACCATGGCACTATTATTTATAAGCCATTGTCAACCACTTCCACGGATTTTATTATATTTCTATTTTTTTGTTTCTGAACATTCTCTAACATCTCTGTATCATTCATGGTTATGGTTCATGCGGTAAATATGAATACTGCAAGTATTAGATGTGTCGCAAATGTAAATAAAAAATTTAACGTGAGGGAATCTGTAAAAAGAGTTTCATTTAAGCAGAAATTACCTCTGTCTATTGGCTAATCTCTCTAGACGCCTAGACTGCATAAAAGATTGGAGAATCTTTCATACGAAGTGTTAAGTTCTCAGATACATAATCTGTTGTTTGTTTTGTCCGACGTTAGTAAAATGTCGGACAGTGGAATAATAAAATATCGGTCGACAGAAAATCTATGTCAAGAACTAGAAGCTACTGAACAGAATCATTTAAGTTATTGCGAATTTGAGAACCTACTTCCAATAATCAGTATTCCAGGCTTACTACTCTGTTTGTCACTGTGAAGTTCCAGAGCGAGGATACTTCGATTGTTAGCGGTACGGGGCGTTAAATGAACAACTTTGGCGATGTCCGAATTATCTTGGGCTAAATTTTCCATAACATCCAACAGCGTTTTATAGTCAATGTAGTTCCTAAATCTCAACTTTTCGCTGACGCTTCTTACTTTCCGCATTTTTGCACCAGACCTTTAAGATATATGAAATTAATGAACTCGTCAACCTCCTTCCCTTATTTTACCTAGATATGGTGGGGCACAACATGTGAATCATGTTGTAAGCGGTTTTTAATTTTCTATATTTTTACGACCGGCCGCTTGCTTGACGTCAATCCTCCTGGGAAACAAACACCCGGATCCCGAACAATTATCTGTGGGTCACAAAAATACTTGTCCCGTGTGGGAATCGACCCCACGACCCCAGGCTTCGACTTCCGAAGCATCAATGAAGTAAAATTCTAGAAAAACAAAAAAACTACTTCAAACAGGTCATGGGCGCCGAGTCATGTAAAACGGTGTCCTGGCTATAGAAGAAATCATGATATATCTTACAATGTGGCTTTCTAGAATCTTGCGAGACGGATTATTTAACTGTGGTGTCATGACATGTACCCAAATTTGATTTTGAAGTTAATTTAAGGCATAGCGCTATGTGATGTACCGTGCAAATTATTATTTGATAATAGTAATACAAGTAGATGCAACTACCCCTTAGTGAAAAAGATATCACCGGCGCCCATGAATTGTATTTTGTTTAAAACATACGTATGCGTACATAACATAGTTTCTTGGAGGAAATAGAATTACAAATAGTGCACCAAATAGGTACATTGATGTTATTAAATATATTTTAACTTGCAATAGCATTATCTCGATGGATAAATTTGTAATAGTCTTTTAAAATTTGTAAAGCTATGGATCATTGACACATAGTAAAGCACGTTTTTATTTTCATTCAAGTCACAATTGTTGTCAAGTATATGGTAAAAGATCTTTTTAAATATTTAATTATAAAATGAATTTTGAAGTAATTATTTGTATATTTTCTTACCATTCATTATTACAATTTCTTTTACTTATTCTGAAATTGGTTTCAATGATTTATATTTTTCCCGTGACCTAAAATATTGTTTAAAGAAAAATTGATAGAGTGTTTACTAAGTCTGGCGACTAAATAATATGACATGCTTGGTGTGTTGACACATAAATCCAAAGATATGTTGTCATTTTATCATAAAATGAAGCTTTGCTCTTTCTTAGTAATATGTCATTCATAGTCATTTTAATAATAATAGCTTTTACAAATTCGATATATTCTTTGATATCTAATTGTAACGATGTTGTCACTGAACCTTTGTATAATGCATCATGTGAGTTGCGTTTGGCACTCGTAAACATCTTATGTATCTAGGGACTATGAAAAATGTAATATAAGTATATATCTTTTATGTTTAAATAATTTTCAGTGTTTCGTAACAAACGATCTCCTGCAGAGTATACACGATGGCGTCCAAATCAAGTATCCACGTCGGAATTTATTGTTAAAGTTCTCGATGATGACATACCATCTACTAGCACAAAACGAGTTGTCGCTGTAAACATATTGCCCAGCACAAAGAATACAGAGAAAATAATTGTTGGTGGAGTAGTTGTACCTTCACCAAGTACAGCGTTGACGGTTAAACTGCATTTAATGCACTATTCTGTACTACCTACACTTATGACTACATTTTACGATAATAAAGATTTGCTCTTTACTCAGGTGCCTGTACCAAGTAGAAATATGCCATCGTTTCCCGCACAAGGTACTCGAATGAATTAAATGTTTTTCAATATTTAACGAACACTTTTATGTTGATTTCAATCTGACTCAATCTTTGTTTTAAGGGCTTCTTTTAAATGAACCACCATATCCGCAATATAAGTTTGTTCGTCCACCACATCGGGATGAAAGTCCACCGGCAGGTCCACAATTCATCGCAAGGACTCCCACGTTGCTTGCCCGACAGTACGCACCTATCACATCAGTACAATTTACCCCAAAGTCGTCCGCTAGTCTTTTGACTCCACAAACTTTACTGAGATACGTAAGTTTTGAAATCTTTTTACAATATTTACCAACTTTGTTTATTTGTGTTTCGTAATTATTGCATTTATCCATTTGTAATTGCAGTTTAGTTTATTCACTCTTTTTTATTTGTGAGATTCTTAAGACTAATACTTAATTCCTAATTTTTTCTTTATATAGACTTATTCTGATGCGCAATTTAAACCAACCCGGACTTCACCGTTTCCGAATGGCATACTACCGTCAAAAACTTCGATACTTGACAACGAATTTGGTAATGTTCAACCGTTTGATGATGAAGAAATCAACTCGAATGAAATTTCCGTTAGTCGTAGTACGCATTTCCCAATAATGGATTTAGAACGTACTCAAAATGTAGATTATAATATGAATTTCAAAACCAGCCGGGATACTGGTTCTCCTAAATTTATTGATTATACTACGCAACAGCGCAAAATGATTGATAAAGAAAAAAAAGCAGATGAAGAAAAAGAACTTGACTCACCCTATGGCATGATGTTTTATATTGAAGAGGATAATGATATTACTAAAAAAGCAAATCGAAAATATAAAGACGAATCTGAAGAAGGAGTGTTAGAAGAACCTACATCTACTAATACAAATAAGATTGGGTACATAGATATCACCGAAAAACAAGAACCTGGAGAAAAAATTTACTTAGAAATGGAGAATGACAATGATACGATAGCTGTTCCTAAAACAAATGAAACGTCTGTTTTAGAAGGATCAAAGAGGAGACAAGAAATTACAAGACATAACTGTAGTTTGTTACGATTACGACCGCTTAATTTTAAATCGCCACGCACATTGCCTGAGGTTAAAAGGATATTTATGTATATTTAAGTAAAAATTTTCCAAGATATATCTTCAACTCGCATCTCGCATCACCAAGTTTTAGCTTTACTTTAAAAATTCACTAAGAATTTTATTAAATTCATATGTAATAAAGTAGAGGAGACCATTGAGATCCTTAATGCAGAATTCTTCTTAAGGCTAATTGTTTTATTTATTCACAGATTGTTTCCCAGTTAAGATATTGGGCTGAGCACAGTCCCGTAGCAAAGTGGACTGATATTACAGCCGGTAATTATACTTTGATGGAAAACCCTATATACATGATGATAGTTGACGACCCAAGTAGCGGCCAAATAATTTCCGCAAAACAAACGGTCATGGTGGTTGCAGGTACCTCTGCTAATTTTGTAATTTTTTTAATCTATCTGGTATTGTTATTGAGCTCTTAATTTTTTTTTATGTGAGAAAGTGGCAAATGAGCTAGCGGTTCACGTGATGTTAAGTGAAAACCACTGTCCATGGAAATTTGCAACGCCCGGAGGGTTGCAAATGTGTTGCCATCTTTAAATAAACGCGACGCCGGCTACCTCACTGACCAGATGAAACGCAGTGTAACACTTCTACTTTACGCCAGTCTTCTGTGAGGTCGTGGTACTTAACCGGACGGACTTGCCCGTTCATGCAACAGTGTACACTGTTGCTTGGTCCTACCACAGTTAATACATATAAAATTAAAATAATTTCGACAAGAAATTAAAAAAAAAAATACTTTTTTGGACCACCTTAATGTAGTAGTCATAGGGTTTCGTAACTTAAAAGGTAAAAAGGAACCCTTATAAGATCACCCTCTTGTTCGTCTGTCAGGAGCTGGTGGACCAAGCAAGTTAAAATTTATACCAGAAACTAAGGTCTATAGTCCCTATTAGGTTTATTAAAAATTCACGTGAAAAAATTTAAGGTTCTGATTGAAGGTGATTTTCATGAAAAGTTGTAAGTATTGGTACTACCTTAATATACCTTAATTTTCAAAGTTTTTTTATTTTTCGGATTTTTCTATATGGTAGTTCCCGTTGACCTAGAATCATAAAATTAGAAAAATAAGGTATATTTTGGTACCTCAAGGTTTTCGCGAAAATCTAAATTTGCCCATATCTTTTTACCGTGTTGCTCCAGGATCTTGATCATTTTTATATACATAATATGGACTATAGGCCTCAGTATCTGGTATAAATTTCAACTTGCTAGAACCACCAGGTCCTGAGTAAATCGCTGTTGATTATTTACCAATTTTATCAAGGCAGTATAATACCGACTTAATAAAGTACGGGTAGTACGAGTTCAATTCGCACTTAGCCGGTTTATATGTATATATATCTTATTTGCAGGCATTCAGGGTAGAGATCACCACGCAGTGTCCGCCGCGTTATATGTTTTATATCAATTAATAGAGCGTACTGACGTCCACACAGATTTACTCTCTAAGTATCGTTTTTGGATAATACCCGTTTTCAACCCTGACGGCTATGATTACTCAATAACCTTTCCACAAGTATGTTCGCCTGTTTAAATTTTATTTGTAATTATCATGCATTTTCTTTTGTTTGTTCAGTATTATTACTGTTCAGTAAATAACAGATTATTTTGAACTCCAATGAAAAATTTCAACTAACGAATAGATAGAGATCGTTCATTGATGTTTCAATAAGCATTTTATTACAGTGAAGTCACACTGAATTGGACGATAGAAGTAATTAATTTAGCTTTGACAAAGTAATTATAATTTTATTTTGGTACACTTTTTAGCGGAGGGAATGGACAAAGAATTTGCGTCAGACTTGGCAATCTAGTGCAGAGCTAGATGCGTGTACAGTATTTGGTTTACGATGTTCTATTAAGCCGTGTTATGGAGTCAACCTTGATAGAAATTTTGAGTACCAATGGATTCCACGTTAGTGTTTTCTATTTCTTAATTTACATGGAACTTATATATTTTTTAATAAGCTATCCTGCAGATGTGACAATAAAACTTTTGTTAGGTCATCTATCCAATTCCCTTGTAAAATTTCGACGTTTCATAAGAACGCGCAAGCGTCTATGTGAATAAAGATATTTTATTATTAGCCTTTTGCAGTCCACTGGATAGAGGCCACCCCAAGGGCACGCCACAGAGCACGATCTTCCGCTTTCCTCATCCAGCCACTTACAGCGACCTTTCTCAGGTCATCGGTCCATCTGGCAGAGTGACGTCCGAGTCATAGTCATATAGGTCATCTATACAAAATGTATGCTTAAAACTAATTGCACATCAAAATCATAGGCAAACACAACATTGATAGATTCACGTATTTGTCAGTAAATGCATATTACAAAGAAAAAAATACAACTAAAAAGCTAATATGTTGACATAAGTGTAAAAAAACGTTTATCCAGCGTAATAACAAAAAAATAAAATTAAAACCGAAAAAAAAATGTTTCTCGTGGAAATAAGTTGTCAATCATGGCTTAGAATAATGTGACGACATTCAAGTAAAGAATCGCAATTTAAATCAATTTTGTCGGAGAACTTATTTACTAGAGTATACAAGCGCGGTATAATTGCTTAGCTCCCAAAAACACTTTAGGAGTTTCAGTTTAGTGCGTGGACAAGAACGAGGGACATTAAAGTTAAATTAGGAAAGAAGATCAGGGCAATCTACATTATTTCTTACAAGCTCATGGAAAAAATTAAAATCAATTAAGTCTTTCCTTAATTTAAATTCTTCAATTTAAATTTCTAAGTCTTTCCTCTTAGAAAGACTCGTTATTTTAAAATAGCTAAATCTTTCGTCATAAGTAATTAATTTTTTTATCCAGGCATGATGTTTTTGCAATGTGCCATAAAAACCGTTCCTGTAACACTTATCTCCAATTAAAATATGTATAAAAAGTGCGAAAAGATTGTCGCCGCTGTGGGAATCGAACCCACGTCTTCGGCATTCGCGGCCTGACGCTCTAGCCACTGAGCTAAACGGCTGATTACCACACCGACGAAAATCTTAACGCATTCTTCCACATTGTTTTCTTAGCATTTGAAGCAATGCTTGGCGCCATCTATTGTTATATCCTTTCCAGCATACAAACAACTTCGAATATCGTTTTACAACGATAATTCGAACGAGAGATGTCGCCATTGCTTTTTTAGAAATTTAAATTGTTTATAGTGCTAATCTTTGTGCTAAATTTCTACTGTTGGTGCGGTATTATTATTTGTTGTATGTGAAATTGAATTATTGAACATATTAATGATTCAAAAATTTTTGCAAAAGTAGATAAAATCGAAAAAGGTCTATAGTTGTTAACTTTTGCCGTGTCTCATTCTTTAAATACGGAGTACCACTTTTCCTAATTTCCATTTAAGTGGGAATGAACCAGATTTCAGGGATTCGTTATATATGAAATATAAAGGAGTTACAAAAATTTTTGCTACTGGACTAACATCATCAGGACCGCTATCTTTTTTATCATCTAATGTTTCAAATTTATTAAGGAGACCTAAGTTTTAAGGAGAAGTGAGACCTAGCCCATTCAAATCAACAACCAAACCCTGTATACTGATGAAAAATAGTCTTTAAATAAATCAACGTTATTAATAGAGGTTCCTTTCATCCTCGGTACATTCTTTTTTATATTGTTAAGCGAATAAATTTCCCCTGAATCTTTTCAAGGATGAATCTCCTTCGTGGTATATTTGTTCCGGTAAAAGTAATAAACTGGTGATTATATATAATAATCCGTAATTATGCATAATCTGCGATATAGCCGTGCCGTGATAGCTCAGTGTCCGGGCGCTCGCCTTTAGTTCAATATACTCGGGCAACCTGAGTTCGATCCCCGTGCCAGCACTAATGAATTTGTTAATTTTAAGTGCTGACTTTATCACGTGCTCAGCGGTGAAGGAAAACATCGTGAGGAACACATGTAAGAAGAACTCTCTGTATTGAGCAGAATGATATAATGATCAGAATGATCAACTCAAAGATTTTAACCATCTACCATGATTACCATTTCTCTCAGAAACACTGATCATTTTCTTTCATTCGGTTTCTTCAGAAACCGGGCCTGAGTTTTTAATTTAGCCAACAATCGTTTACATAAGAATCCTATCGATATAATGAATTGTTAATGATAAGAATACAAACTTTTAATCCTTAAATCCGTTTCATTAATGTTACCTAAACTAAGGTCAAAAATTGAGGTCGCGTTATAGTGAGGAAAACCGTAGGTATGCGACGACCCTAAAAAGATAAGGAACACATTTTAATATCCGATATGTTATCACCGCGATAATCTTAAACAATATCATATGTGCACCAAATTCGACTGTTGTAGTCAACTCGGCCACTTGAAAAAGCAATGAACAGGTACGCTATGTTGGCGAATGAAGTCTTGTTGTCTGAGATAGTCCGCTTCGATTGGACCATATTTCACGTGATTATTCTGAGTTAGGGTTGGCAACCGTATCATAAACGTCTTAAAACTGCGAAAGTTTCACACACCCTGTGATAAGGCTACGCAACAGGCTTTGCTGTTGCACGAATGGGCAGGTCCGACTGGGTAAGTACCAGGACCTCACAGGAAGAACACACCTGGTGAATGAGCTATCCGGGGCCCACTTTATTATAAGGTAGCAACGTATCTGCAACCCTGCGGGTGTTGCAACTGTCAATGGGTTATCACTCAAATCGGGAGAACCGCCAGCTCGTTTGCCACCTTCTCAACACATACAAAAACATAAAATCAACGAACAGTATATGATCACACAAAAATATTCAAAGTACAACTAAACACTTTCAATTTTGTCTACGGCACCTAGGGATTTAACCTTTACGTTACGGTATTTATTTTTGGTTCCTTTTCGCGAACTCTCAGTTGCAAAATCCTTTAAAAAAAATCTTTTACTTAACATGATCACCAGGATGAGAATCCATGAGGATTCTCGATATCCATGGATTATTGACGGGAGAATCCATCGTCTAAAAGTTTGCATATTGGGGACTATATGTTAACGTTTGGGCTACTTTGGGTTGTTTCAAGGAAATTTGTATCAAAACGTTCTGAATCAAAAATTTCAGAATTTATCCCTTAAATCTTTTTAAAGCTTCATTCCTCCTGATTTTTATCACCTTAATTCTTTCTGTGAAATTCCATGTTATATTTTTATGTTATTATATGATGAATATAACTTCAAAAACAGTAGTTTCATGTAATTTATGATTTCAAATTTAAGTTTCTTAGGGACGGCTTGTTCAAAAATCCTTAATTTTATCTACACTATATCCTCTATGTTCTGACATGAAAAATTAACATAATTTATAGGCTTGAGCATCCTAATACAATGTAGTCACAATAAGATTCGCCAAATAAACACGGTACTGTGCTTGTGGGGAAAGAAATCGGCGTTCAGAATGAAACATAGCGCGAAAAATATTAACTGTTATAGTTCCGACCATAGATTTATTGTTAAAAAACAAAACTCTGAATTTGGGACCGACATCGAAACCCCAAGTTAATTCCTACCCTTATTATTAGGTACTTCATTTTTATCTGAACTTGAACTGGTTACCTTGTTCAATGTTACTCGCTTAAATATACCTAGTTATTAGTTTAGTCTTATCTTGTTTAATCACGAATACTTTTTTGTCATTTACCCAGTATAAACAGAAGTTTTCTGGTTTTCTTTTATAAATATAGGTAAATATGTTAAACCAGAGTTCCCCAAACTTTTTTGTGTCGTAGACCCCTTGCCATGTTTTTCCATGTTGTACTTACCTGATATTGATTTCCTGTAAATTTCTAACTGTAGTGAAGTTTAGTGTTAAAAACTTAAAGTAAAAACACATGTTAATTTATACATTTATTAATTGAATTTAAATTAAAACTACTCAAAATAAAAGTTTGTATAGAGTGACGAATTGAACAAGTCAGTGCAAGGTAGCGAAGCTCTGAGACTGCGACTCTCAGGTTTTTACAAGTTCAAAATGTATTGCGACCACAAAGCGAATACCAACATCCTACAAATTACACAATTTTATAAACATATATAATAATTTTTTACTTCAAAGGTACTTTTATAAATAATGTATATGTTTTGATATTATAAGATAGTATGATGTAAGTAAATAGGTACTATTAGTGTATGTGTTGAGATCCACTATCGTGGACCCCCATTTTCATTTCATGGACCCCCAAATTTTTTTTCGGTGACGTAGACCCCTTGCAGGTTGTCATAGATCCCTAGGGGTCGATATAGACCACTTTGGGAATCACTGTGTTAAACTAAATGTCGTCGCATCATAATTGGAATATCAACTGACAATTGTAATGATATTTTTAAGCTATTGCATAGCTTTTATTGCGGGCTTTGAGCGCGGCGACCGAATCAAGAAATTCCGTAACGAAAATAAAACCTAACACCCCCCACTCCGCCTATGTAGCTCGGCCGAGCGTTCACTTAACGTGTATGTATGTGGCACATGTGTGATACTATAATATGATATTATCATATGATGATATGATATTTAGAGGATAGACTTTGAAGTCTCAAACTTATGTTTCTTGTTTTAGTTACAATAAACCTATAGTTTCAATGATAAATATTCCTGAATAACCTAGATGTATTGTAAGATAATAAAAATATTTTAAACGATATTAACTTCTCGTTTATCTCGGTTTACCCCCTTTCCCCGAGTGCCACATTTTATTTTTATTTATTATAATTTAATTACGTTGTCTTTCTGATTTGTACTATTATAAGTAAATAAATAAAAAATGTGAACACGCGACGGAAGATATACTTGTCATCTTTTATTTTAGCTGATGAGCTTCGCGCGGAGCACCCTTGCGGTGATCTGTACGCGGGCACCCGTCAACTGAGCGAGGCGGAAACTTTGGCTCTGACGCGATACCTCCACACCCAGCGCATGCCACTCCATACCTTCATAGCGTTCAAGGAGGGAGACGTGCTCGTACGTGGAATTTTGTGTAATTTTATACAGGGTGTATCTTTAGGGCTCCGTACCCAAAGGGGAAAAAGGGACCCTATTACTAAGACTCCGCTATTTGTTGAAATTTTCACAGATGATGTATTTCTATTGCCCCTATAACAAAAAATGCTAAAAGACAGCCTAAAAAGTAAAGTAAATAGAGTGGTGCTCCCATACAACAGACATAATTTTTTTCGGTGATCCTTGAACCGAGGAAAAAAGCTAGATGAAACCATACTCCGGCTCACAATTTGCCGAACTATTAGTCTCCCACAACCTCTTTATTTGGTCTGCGTAATAACAGTCTGATATATAAGCTCTCTTTCCAGGTCATTGATTACTGTTTGGTTTCTGGGTCAAAATGGTGGAGATAAAAATATTTTAGCAGATCCTAGAGGTTTTTGAGATTCACTCTCGAAATATCAAACTTTTTTGCTGTTCGGTCGCAGAGAAATATAATTATTTGTCAACGATTCTAAATATGAACTCAGAAACGGCACGTATAGACATAAGATCGGTCACTCTTCGATCTGCCAACACAAATTTTTTTTAAGTAAAAAGTTGGTTAGCGACCAGGTGTTTCACCTGATCTTAGGTGATGGTACACCACCCATTGACATCTACCGTACCTGGTGGGTTGCCGATGAGTTGCCAACCTATTTATAAGTAGGACCTTGTTACTTTACCCAGACGATACGTGAAATTATAATTTCCACAATCTTGCCCATTTGTACAACAGCAGGCCTACCTTAGTTAAAATCACATGTACGGTGTTTTATCCTGTTTTCTACACTACTAGACATGGTTAAATGTCCTGAACACTCATCTTCATTGGAAGTTCTTCCCTTCTTAAACTCTTTGGCCCAGCGTACGGCGGTAGAATTTGGAGGCACGGTGTTCCCTATTACGTTCCATAATGTCTTTGAAAGGCCTAATCCTCTTAAAATAGATATTGAAGTGAAAACTAGTTAACCTAAAAAGAAATACAAACTGTATTATTTTGCGCGGATACTTTTCCGCATTTTAACGTTGGTCTTTTTCTCCATTCCAGGGCATTATGTATCCCTATTCACACACGAAGAAAACCCGAGCATTCGATCATGTATATGTAAGTTGGCAATTAATAAATACTTAATTTTATCTGAACTTAATTTTGAATAGCTTAGTGTAATGAGTTATTCACGTTTCAGTTTTTAGTTTTATCTTAAAGTATAAAATATATGCTTACCTAAACATCTCTATCATATTGGTACTCAGTCTACGGTATAGACCTACATTAAGCATAAAAAAAGTGTCACGTCGGATAGGTCCAGGTCGAGTATGCTTTGTTTAGACATTTTATCCTTGTACCAGAAGTTTAAATGAAAAATATGGTATACAACAACTTTATAAGTTTTATATGAAGTACTTACTACCTTAATTTTTAACTAATTAGTTAAAAAAATTGTTAATTTTATTTTTTTAATTTCATGTAGTTTGTTTAAAGTTTGTATGTATTTTAATGAGGATTAGAGGTTTTATTAGAATTTTGATTTCAGCGGCAGCGTGCCTCACGCGCGGCTTCCGCCGCTTACGGTATCAGCGGGCGGCCATATGTCGCTGGGCAGACATCACAGTTTTTGCGTAAATTGTTACATTTTTCACACGATCATTGTAGAGTTCATCAATATAGATATTGGTTGTTCCAAAGAGGTTCCTGTGCGGAATATATTTGTATCAAATGCAAATTTATAAGGCAATGAGTCTGTTTGCGCTTTTACGGAGTCAACCAAATTATTATAAGCATTAATACGTTCGTTTTGCCTTTTAATCAGCACTTTACGCCGGCGGGATAGAGGATTGGGTGGACGGTCATTTAGGTATTGACAACACATACACCGTGATGATGTTTCGGCCGACCGACTCATACAACTCAAAATATGCGACAGAGGTAAATAAAATGAAATACACGAATGATTTAGATTTTACTTATTTAAGTTAATCTCTACAGATTAACTTAAATAAGTGACAAAAAAAAACAGTTGTTTTATCCATTCGTAAGTAAATAGTTTTATTATAAACTATTTTGTCTCTAATTTCAGCATGTCGTTCACGAAGCGTACGCTGCTATGGATACGTTGCTTCTGCACAGCACTGAGCCAATGTTGGGCCCCCCCGTAATCACGCTTTCGAAATCCACTGGACATCGCGTGTTTCCATTTCCGATTGCTTACCTCATATGTACTTCGTCGTTAACTATTATTACCGGTATATGTATAATGATAAGGAATTAGTAGTTTGTATTGAAATGATTTAACCGTCACGCACGAAGAGGATTAGCAAGTACGAATTGCAAGCATGCTACGAGTACATATAACGTTTCTGTATGTACATGAGTGCCGTCTCGCGACCAGCCGGAATGCTCTTTCCGCTTACGATCTTAAAATTGGATTAAAAAATAATTTTCCTTTAGACTTAGACAATTACAACCTTAGTAATTGCGTCCAATGCTTTTTCCAATGATTTCAGCTTATCATAGTTCGCGAAATTAAAAACATTTACAAGCTTCTTTCGCATGGTTTGTTTTATTAGAGGCGTTTTTATTTTATACGAAAAGTTTGAAATAAACTATCTTTAGACTTCATTTTGTTTGATTTCTAAGTACATACACACCTTACATTTAAACGACAGCCTTTTTATGTGTAAAATTGGATGAACGGACAGGACGGCTATACCAATAATTATAAACAGCGTGCCCCGTTATTTCCCTCAACGGACAACGTTTAAAATCTTGGCGCTCATATCTATTTCTATTTTCTATATTTTTTTGTGTCCGGACGTGGTAATTTACTAAAAAACGTTTTAGTAAAATAATTTTAAAGACGTATAAATTAGTACAAACTACTTTATGCGTCTGGGTATGTAAAAAATATTGAAAGGTTCTAATACAATGGTACAGTAAACATTTCTGCTTTTCTGATTACAATACAATACAATATCAGCGTATTGCCGTATGCAATGCTGAACGTAAGCCTCCCCCAGAGAGCGCCAACTATCCCGGTCCTGGACAGTCTGGATCCATCCGCTGCCCGTCACCTTTCTTAAGTCGTCATTCCATCGTGTTGCAGGGCGTCCCACTCTACGTTTCCAGTACCATTAAAGACCTAGTAGACCTAATAGTTAGAAACTTGCGGTTTCTCTGGTACACAAGCATTGCGCCTTCCATCGCCCGTTGAGCGACCATGAATTTGTGGAAAAGCCCCACGGTAAGTGTCCACATTTCGGCTTCGTAGGTCTGTCTACCAAAGAAACCGCAAGTTTCTCTGGTAGACAAGATACGAAACGAAGTCATTCGCCAGAGAACAAAAGTCACCGACATTGCGCGCAGAATTAGAATATTAATACACCAAGGTTTTCTGATTACTTATTCCAAATGTTAAATTTTTCAATTTAAAAATTGCTCTCCAATACTTGTTTTCCTGTTAACTTTTGGAGCCGTATTTTTGGGTGCACCAAATGGTACACCTATAAATACGGCTCGTAAAATGCGAACCTCTCTTAATATTATAAAATTACACGCAAGCGTTGTTCAGCTGAATTATTAAATTATGAAAGGACTGAAGGACGTTTAACTTTTGTCCCTGCTCTTCCGGAACTAGAAGAATACTATATCAATAAGGCAAAATAAAGATTGCGAGGCCAATGTTGCAACCATAAACTGTCAGAAATTATCAAATATTATCGAAACATAATCATTCACAATCACACGTCTAATATAACATTGTAATTTGTATTATATATTTTGTAGTATATAGATAAGAACTTAAATTTGAGTTATTACACGTGACCTTGTGACTTGAACTCGCAAGCTTACAAGTATACCACTTGGAAAAATCGCTCAAAATTTTCATTGGTACGTAATAACAACGATATTATATACGAATACGGGGTACATATGTGTGGTGTGGATTCCGTAGCATTATTTATAAAAACGACAAAAAAATCTTGCATGTTGTATGGGAGCCCCACTTTTTTTTATTCTATTTTTACTATTTGTTGTTATAATTGCAACAGAAATACATCATCTGTGAAAATTTCAACTAACTATCACGGTTCACGAGATACAGCCTGGTGACAGACGGATAGACAGACAGCGGAGTCTTAGTAATAGGGTTCCATTTTACGATGGGTACGAAACTCTAAAAACTAGCACCGAAACTGAGGCAAAGAGGTACTCAAATTACACCAATTGGTGTATTTAGATAGCAGTTCTATAGACCTGTATCTCTTTCTGTTTCATACATTCTATGTTATCGTCACATTTACTTACATATGTCATATAACGTAAAGTGGAACAATTTTCAAACGCCGCGCAGTTTGAACATGCCCATGTGTCATCTATATTATTAAAGATCATTGCCTAATAAGACTTTAACAAGATTAAAAATTCATTTATAATGCGGCTTTGAAAGAGCAAAGTTTATGTCAAAAGTCATAGATGATGTCAACATGCTATTGTTACTTAAAGTTTTGGAAATGTTATCATTTCTCTTGACACATTTGAATGAAATTTACTTTAATTTTGCGCTATGCTGCTGATAAGCAATCTTACAATTTAATGTATGAAATATAAAACATTTTTATAAAACACACAATATTTATATGGGATTACAGTTTTTGGGAATTTTTTAATAAATTCATTATTACACATAAGACATACAATTATATAACATACAAAATCAGCTTTTTACATTCAAAATATCGAATTCTTTAAAAAGGAGGTAAAACTTGCATATTGCAACGTATGTTCGCGTTTTTCTTATTTATTTATTTAATTAGATGCGCAAATAGCTTAAAATATATGTATTCTTAGCTATATATATATATATATATATATATAAATATAAATTTCGTGTCACGATGTATGTTCGCGATAAACTCCGAAACTACTGAACCAATTTTTATTAAATTTTGTAAGCATTTGTAATTTGGTCCAACTGGGGAGGTATAGTTTTATTTCAATTATTGATCTCAATATTTGTTATTGCAAATTATTTGTTCATTACATGACAGAGCTATCTGTGAGTCCCATCAGTCCTCAGTCCAGATGACGGTGTAAGATAAATTTATCGGCTGGATTGAGTAAGTATCCGATAGATGGCGCTATGCTAAAAGTAGAAACGTATGAACCCGGTAGAATTGGCGCAGACCAAAGAGTACTTTTATATATCTGAAAGACGAAGCTTGGCGCAGACGAAGTTGCGCGGGCCAGCTAGTCGAAGAGATATTTAAATTTTTCTACCTATACTGATTATCTTACCAAACCTCGCTGTACCCTAGCCGAGCACTTACAAAATCTTCATAATTAAATAAAAATTGGGTTTATAATGATATACAGTGGCAATATGTATCTACAAAAAAATCGTTTATTTTTTGCGTCAAAACATATCTGGATTAATGTAGAATTCTAATGCATATGGGTTATTAAATATATGTCATGTATAAAAAACTTAAGATTAACATGTACAGTAAAAATAACATGACAGAAAAGAATTAAAATGTTTAAAATTACGAAGGCCATGACATAAAAAGATAACGTTACATTTTCGAAAATGCTTATTTTGTGTAATGCATTGAGGAAATTAAACCGTTTACTACCCGTACGTGACCGGACGAACTTGAATTTTTATTTATTTGTTAGCAACAATGAAAATCTCAGCATTCAAAGAAACGAAGGTAACGAAGCTTTATATTCAATGAGGAGATTCTTGGTGTAAAAATAAAAAAAAACATTTCAATATTTTTTTGTAATTATTAAGTTTCGTTATAGGCAACAAAACCCTTTAACAAACTAAATCGTTTATCAAAAAAAAATATTATTTGACAACAAAAAATATCTTTTTAAATATAACTGTTTCGTATAATAACTGTGCTAGGGCCATGCAGCAGCTTCTGTTGTTACACGAAGATGCAGACATGCCCGGATAAATAAAACGACGTCATAGGCCGGCATTGGTAGTATTTCACTTATGTGTAAGAAGTTTTGACTGGTAAGTGAGGTAGCCAGGCCGGGCAGGACCCCATTTTTTTATGGTTCTAGGCGGCGGTAATTCACTTAATATCAATTCAAACATTAACCAACTTTTCAAATAGGATAAAAGTATTCAAATTTATTTTTATTCAGGTACGTTTCTCATCGGAGCCACCATAGGTTGGACAGTACGGCCACGACCTTTTTTTAATTGAATTATTTTCGTACTTTTTGGTTTAAAACAAAATTTCCGACGCACAATTTCCTTTAGGGTTACGATTAATTCTGCCATTGACCAACTTTATCATGGCTGTGAGTCGCCTTTTTGGTTGAGTATTTGTTTTATTGTTGCTTCCTTTATAAATAATTATTAGTTCCCTGGGAAATTGTGAACAGACAAAATATAGTATAACGATTTAGAAAACATATATCTGAATAGTTAAAATTTCTATATTTTTATAGAAGAATCACCTTCAAAAAATAAATAAAAGACAAATAATGATTTTGTTTATAATTACGCGTATAATTTTTAAGTAGGTCCTCGAATTCCAACTATAAATTATTATAATAGTAACTACGTAGGTACTCATTCGTCTTTTTCCTTAAGATTAAATAATTATAATTCTCGGTGGTCCTATTTCAAAATAATATATATAATACCTAAAACAAAAATAAATTTTATGCTTAGTTATACTTTTTGTTTTATTTTTAAATCAGATAAGCGACTATACGTACACTGTGAAAGGAATCAGTGTAAAAAAGTCTGGATCCCAAGAAAAAGAATAAAATAAATAAATATAATAAAGTAAAAATTATTCACTTTTTAGAGACAGCTGAAGTCCATAAAGCATATAACATGTGATGCTTTATGAAGTCTGTTAGGAGTGGGAAAGACTGACTAGTGCGAGACGTTCTTGCCGCCGAATTCATCAAGAAACAATACCATTTTGCTAGATTTAGTGTGGAGTGTTTTATCTACGAGTGTGTTATCTAAGAGTCTGGTGAGGAGTGGGGCCACACGTGTGCTTTGGTCTTACCAAATAAACTACTAAGCGGCGTGAACGAGAATGATTTCAGCGCGGACCATCTAGGCAATGAATCTGCTACGCAGCTAGAGCACTGACTAGCTTTAGTGTGTGAGTATCTTATCTTTAAGTCTGTCAAGGTATCCAGCAACTTCCCAGGTGCAAGAACTATTCAATGCACAGTTGGCTGTGCTCGACATTTCGGAAGATGCTGATGACTGAGCTATGTGACGAGCATAAAGGTCAAAGAAGAAAACTAAAACCAAAGCCCCAATCAAAGCCGTCTCCCGTAAGCTACACACCAACCATGATTAGGGGCATCGTTGAGATTGAGGCTAAATTGTACAACGGTATCAGCGACAGCCAGGGTCTGACAGAGGGATATGTGTATGCGGAAAGACCTGAACCACGATACGCAGTGCGCAATCGTCCATAGGATGTGCAAGGACCATTCTGTGCTTCATATTTGCCGACTGTACAACTTAACGTCCGAAATGGTCAATGAGATATAGGAGGACCGGGACAAGTACCTCCTGCTGAGGAAGGCGGGCGGGATGTACAGGAATAGCGTGCTGCTGTGACAGCACTCATCACTAACCATTATTCCACAGAATATTGGCAATTACGTGCAAGTGTCTGAGGAATTGCTGCATGACATCGATGTGTTGTTCATGAAAGGATATGACTTCGTAACTTTTTACTACCAAGACCAAATCATGACGAAGTACGAGATCTTGCTCAGAGTCACAGCGAGGGACTACAAAATTATCGCTTTCAGGAGAAAAAGGAAGAGCCTATTCCTCAAGGGAACTTGGTGTGGTGTTGACGTTCACCTGGAAATCAACGACAAGGACATATACGACGAACAAGGCTGTGCGTCTAACGGGCTTAACGTTGCTCGGGGCGAACACATCCTGGAGAGGGTAATGTTATGATCAGGGGGTTGACGTCTTAAATGTCAACAACCTGCGATACTAGCTTCGGATGACGTGTTTTATTTTATTGAATCGAAAACAAATATTCTCTCTCCTTTTTTGAAATATCCCAACTTTATAGTTTCTTCTTAATATTAATACAGCGTGTCGTTACAATCGCGACACTAAATGAACACACGTCTAACGCTACTTGCCAATAATTATAAAAAAATATAAACGTTAAAAAAATCCATAATTAAAAAAAATATTTCAAACAAACTAATTAAGTCAAAAAGAAACAAAATTTGTAACATCCTATACAACTACAACTGACTGATTCATACATTCAAGAGACTTTTTCATTCGTTGCCACAGCGTCGCATTACAAGCCTCTGCTTTTAACAGTATGTTTTGTCTCTTTTAAATTCATTCAATCCATTCATATGCTTTGTGACCTTTACAAATGAACTTTACGTGACAGGTTTAACAGACAATTTTCAAGACAGTGAAAACAAACAATTTTAGAACAGCCTTACTTATAATTACTTATAAGTAAGGATGTTCTAAAATTGTTTAAATTTAATAACTCTGTAAATATTAATGTTTAAAGAATGTAAATGTTTAGTACAATTTCAAAAAGTTATCCTCTATATGTGTGTTCATTTATTGTCGCGGTTGTAACGACACGCTGTATATTTTATATATAAATACTAAGACAAATTAATATACTTTGATAGTGAATACTACATCTTAGGCACATAAGTATCATTTTTTTTACCTGAAAACAAGCTTAATTTAAAAACTATCAAATAGTTGAAATTTAATTTTTTATATGCTATAAAAATACAATATAGATATAAACCCACTCTTCTCCCCTTCAATTTAATACCGCTTTACACACTTTTATGAAAGAATGAATTTCGAAACGTATCGCTACTAGGATAATGTTCCAATGATCATAAAGGATACGAGAAAAGAAATTGATGTGTGTGGTATAGCCTTTGGACTACCATAACTACTAACTACCACGGTTGTCGTTCCTACTACTCAGACTCTTTAAGGTATTTCAAAATATTGAGTGTAACATTTAAGTGAAGTCTGCGTATTTCATCGTAGTCATCTTAATTATGTATTATTGTTTAATGGTCAAAAGGGGATGACATTGTTAACAAAAATATAAAGCATCCAAAGTTTTGTGCTATCATGTTTAAAGAAAGGAAAGTAGCAAACTTATGATTAATTTTATTTTGAGTGCTAGTCTCCCCAATTAAAATGAAAAAAAAAAATGTTGTTGCAGAAAAATTGACGGCAAATTGAGATTCGAACCTACGTCTTTCTCGTAACGCGCCTAAATTCTTCACCAACAGCTATGCTAAATGTTGCGACAATTTATCTACGGATAGGTTACTTTTAAAAATAAGGAACTTAACGAATCAACTATTTGGAAAAAGCACACGTTGTTGGAATAGAGAGCTCGTAAAAGTATCCTATTTTAATCATCCATTTAATGAGTGGCGACCGACAAACAGAGGCAGGGTTTGCAAACGATAGGATAGGTTTTATATAAAATCGTTGAAACAATCTGTAGCCGTCCACTCGCGCGTTGTTACATGCGCGGGTTGTGTTGACACCTTAGTTCTTTAGTTGTTAGTTGTTGGTGTTTCTGTGTGATTTGTAATTGAAAATTTAGTGTTAATTTCCCATAAATGGTAAGATTTCTATTTATATAGTCTGAGATAAACATAACATTTAGCTGTTAATCGGTCTAATAACCCTTATTTGAGCCCGATAATAAAAATAAAGCAATTAATACGTCAGTTGTGAAAAGATTTTTTATATTTAAGTCCATTTAAATAGATTTAATTGAATTGTAAATTGCTTTAATATCTTGTAAAAAACTTAAACATGAGCATTTTAGTTTCAAACACAGACCAATGAACTGTTTTCACGTACGAGTTAGTGTACTTTTTAGGCTTCAAGCATAGCGCCCACATTGTTAGCCTAGTTTTTAAGTTTTGTGGTTTTTTTATACAGTTTCATTCATACAAAAAAAATTTCATAATTATGTAACTATACTCTGTTACCAAATCTATTTTTATTAGTACACGAAGCCTACGCATTTTTAACGCCGAAGTTTTACTTTTGGTGTTAGGTAATTTTTTTAGTTGAATTCTATTAAATTGACCGTCTTCTAAATATTTAGCATAATTGGAATATTAAAACAATCTCTCGATGATAATTTCAAGGTTAAACTTTTTTATCATCGTTATTTTCGAGTTAATAGCACTAGGAATTAAATTTTAGGTATTATTATTATTCTTATATAAGTTAATGGTTTTATGTTCCTTTATGCAGAAATTGAAATATATTTTTTAAATCTCAAACTGAATCGGTACTTACAAACCATATTTTACAAGTAATTACAAAAAAGATGCTTAGTAAATAAAAATTCTAAGCAAAAAGCAACTTCTTTAGAAGTGGGATTTGAACATGTTATATTTTTATGTTCTCAAAAATACAGTGCGAGTAAGTAGGTACGCATTATTCCATTTATGAGTATGAGTGGTACTGTAAGCAAACTATATATGGCGCTCCTATTTTATGCTTAGTAAATAAATATAAATACTTTTTATATATAATTACCCCCAATAAATTAACCCCAAGGGGCTAAAAAAAATTTATTCGATTCATGCAGGGGAGATTAACATAGCTCGTGTACAACTTTATGTAAAAAGTACACTAGTTGTGTTTTTTCAAGTATTCTAAATGTAAACCGTATATATCATCAATGACTAGTACTTGATGATCTGTATTCTCAATTTTTTTAAAGTAATTACTATCTATTTTATACAAGTGTTTTGAACTTTATCAGCGCCCTAAGTTTTGAATCTGGGACCTCAACATTGTATAGTAGCTTGCACCAATGCTGCATTGGTTCTTTTTCATATGAACAAACGACACTCATTTTACCTTCGACTCATTGTCAGCTTAAGTGAAACAAACCTGTCAGTTGTAATACGTATTATTCTTTAATCTGAGTAGATATAATATCCAAGGTAGATTTAATTGATAGTGGGTGTATGCGTAATTTACAATCGTCGGTTATCGCTACAGGGATAAGAATGTTTCGAATTGGTGATTACCTGTTGATGTGTATGTAATATATGATATGCTTTTAATCCACCCATTCGTAAATTTTATGTCTATTATACATATATTATTTAATATATACCTCGTACCATCTTTAACCTCGATGGAAATGAATAAAAGGTCAACACAGACAAAAGTTTACTATTATATAAAATAGACAAAAATCTATTTTATATACACAGAACTACATAAATTGCCTCCTATCCGTAAACGTCAAGATCTAAATATCCTTTCTTTTTTTTACTGTTTGCTGTTAAACCCTTGCTCTACCATATTGCCGAGAAACGCTTTGAGTATCTCGTTCGACGTGAAACTTCTCTTCACCACTTCTCAAAATACCTTTCCACTGTTTTACAGTAAATCTTTCACTGCGAAGGCGGTTAAGCTATCGAACATGTAATATTAATGTAATACTTTCTTCAATTATCACTCACTAGCCATCCGCCCTGGCTTCGCACGGGTGCAATGTAATATACATATAAACCTTCCTCTTGAATCTATCTAGTAAAAAGGTCCGTTGTTTGGTTTTAAAGATCTAAGCATACCTAGGGACAGATAGACAGTGGGACGACTTTGTTTTATACTATGTAGTGATTTACTAATTTTAGAATGTAAGCATATTAAGTTTATACACATACCTATTTACCTATCAATAGTTGTTTCATGCATGCATGTCTAAAATCATATGTCAGGGGTTTGCTGGTAGAGAACTTTTTAGGGGCAATGCCTTTGTACACTTATTTAAAATCTTAATTTTTTTTCTCTATTTAATTTTATGTACAATAAAGAATAAATAATATCTGTCCTGAATGTTTCACCATTGCCAAGCTGCAATATTTTTTCTGTTTCATATATTGTAATATAGTATATTTAGCTTTTCTACATATTTATACATTTATGTATAGTAAATGATAGATAGTATTATTTTATAAAAGAATGTCATAATATTGTTGACTGATTTGATAAGTCAATGTTTTTACTACTTACATTGTTTAAATTATGATTGAATTTCGTTAAAACGATAACTGAAAGAATTGCCTGAAAGGCAAATAGCCCTACCAAAGCAATAATAAATTTAGCAAAATAAGTATACATTAAAACATGAATTTAAAATAATAACTAAACGTATAATATATAACGGAAAACTGCGCAATAAAATTGATCGACGAGCAATGATTTCATGTTTCTCCAAATACAATCAATGCCTTATCACCTAATATGTATTCATATCACATGAAAATTAATAAACGTGAGGACAAATTCAACACCGGTAGATGGATGGATGGTCATATCTTTGTAAAAAAACCATAATATGTCGTTTAATAGATACTTATATTAAATAATGCAAATATAACATACTATCGTAACAGAGTCAAGCACAAACAAATAGGGGATTCGACCCCAGTCCAGAACAAACAAAGGAGCTCAAGCTGCCGCCGCCACCCGAAAGTCTCAAAATGCCTTACGATGAAGGGAAAGAAAAGGAGGTAAGTTATTATTTTGCTTCATGTGTACAGTTATAATAAAGTTTAAATTGTAAGTTTTTGTCGATAAATGAAAAAACTTTCGGCGCTGCGGGTTTCGAATCTGCATCTTCTGATTTCGCGCCCAGACGCTTTACCACCTAAAATAAGGCCGATGACCTCACGGCGCGAAAATGAACTGTATTTTTTTATGTGAAAAGTTGCCAACCTTTTGAAAATTGGACTCCGGATACTTCACTCACCAGACGAAACGCGAAAGTATTTATCATACTTCCACTTTACACTGGTCGTGGTCGTGGTATTTACCCGGACGGGCCTGCCCATTCGTGCAACAGCCGAGGCTGCTGCTAAACTGCTAGGAATATCAGTTCCCGGCGTAAAGAGGAAACAACATTAACAAACATTCTGTTTGGTAAGGGCCTATCTACACAGACATTACACAATGTTTAAGACCCATAACAAATTCATCGGCTGGTGCATTCCTCCATGTAAAGAAGTCCACTGACGATTAAGCGGTAATAAATCATGACGTGAGATACATAGTCTAATTCACTTGAAATTTAGTAAATATTAGGAGTGCCAATCTTTTGTTATTTCTCAGCCTGTCCATGTCGTTTCTTATTCCTTGACTAGTAAAAATGCATGCAAAATTGAAATATAAAATTAGATCATAATATGTGCATTACATTTCGGTAGATCTTACGAGTACGTACGAGTAAGTACTTTATGGGTAATTTCTTTATAGTTTAAATAAATTATATTTTAGTTTAAAAAAAAATTTTGTATTACTTTAGTCAAGACACCGTAATAATAATTTTACAATAACATTAACAAAGGACCCATCGATTTATGGTAGCCTGATTTTTAATTGATATATTATATCCATGTGTTCATTATACACATTTTTCTATTTGTATATGTTGAAGATTTTATATATTTATTAAAAGTGTTTTCATAAACTACTCGATTCACCTATAATAGTTACGAGTACGTTCGTAGTGCGTACGTGCCATATATTGTCTGACTTATATTTTTGTTAATATCGCGAAGATAAAATTCCTTGTACTCGTTTCATAATGGACGTCCATCATTTTTATCGGCGCGAAAAGATTTTTGGCATATTACAAAAGTAAAACCTATCTAACATTATAATGTAATCAATCATTAGTAATTGGAAAACTTACGTGGTACTTATGACGTAATTGTATGCGGGTTGTTTTAAAGGATTTCAAGTTTAAATTGCAAAATAGAAAAAATTTTCATCGGCATGACTTTGTTTTTGCAACTTTACCGCTTTATCCAATTCAGCATTATAACGTATAGCTTAGATTTAAAACGTTTCTCTATTATTCCAGGAACGTGTGGAAGACGGTCAACCTCAACGTGCTATGTGGGGGAATCAAATTGAGTTTCTTATGTCGTGCATTGCGACATCGGTTGGTCTGGGAAACGTTTGGCGTTTTCCTTTTGTTGCCTATCAAAATGGCGGCGGAGCGTTCCTGATACCTTACATAATTGTGCTGCTTCTGATCGGAAAACCGATGTACTACCTCGAAGGCGTGCTAGGGCAATTCAGTTCGCGTAACTCCGTTAAAGTGTGGTCTCTATCGCCAGCCATGAAAGGTTTGTGTTGTTATGTATACACATATTTTATGTTTATTCAGTATTGATAAGAATATTTACAGGATCGATACATAATATTTCGTGATTGAGCGGGAGATATCACTACTTGTGTACTAGCTGAAAAATATACCGTACTTCATAACGTTTCTCGACGACGATTCCGTCATTTCGATGATGTGTATCATGCAAATGAAGGTATATTTAATAAATTCTAAAAGATGTATGAATATTATCACGTAAAACGTTTTTTATTTGTTAGTTATAAATCTCATACGATAACGTCACTTACAAAAGAAGATGTTATGAATTAATTAGATCGATAGATGAAATAAGTAACTTAATAAGACGATTATAAATATATGCCGTATCTACATTATCATACAATATTATATAATTAACGTTAAAACTTTTATATGTCTGATCTATATTAGACAATAGATTAAGACAAATCAGCGGAACTAAGTAATGTATTTTTATATATCACAAATCAATCGAGCTAATCTTTTTAAAGTTGGGCAAGGAAAAACGGGCAAACACATTAATTAACACATCTTTTCGATTACCTTTTTCTCCCACAAAGAAAATATAAGATAATAAGAAGGTTCAATTATAAATTAAAGATTATTATCGAATAGAAAAAAATCACTACAGGGAGGCTTTTGTAAGTGTATCCAATTTTTTTTATTAAATTCTAGATATAAATAATGTTATATAAAAATAGATAAATATTTAAAATCAGTCGTAATTAATTAATTACATTCATTTTAACTTATCTTAATAAATGCGTGATTTATGGGCAACTCATTTATTTTACGCGCGATCATTCATAACTAACACGTACACAAGTTCGTTTCAAAAGTATACGACGTATTTATGAATGACTACCGCATTGTCAACAAATTCTGTTTTTTATGGAATAGAATTGCAATACTTTTGAAAAAAAAGTTTGTTTTTATTTCTATAAACGATTATACTACCGAGTTTGAAACTCCTGTGTGAATTAACGGTGGTAGGGCCACGCAACAGTGTTCGCTGTTGCACGAATGTGCAGGTCTGTCCGGGTTAGTACCACGACCTCACAGAAGACCGGCGTAAAGTAGAAGTGTTGCACTTCTGCGTTTCGTCTGGTGACTGAGGTAGCCGGGACCCACATTATTAAGAGGTGGCAACGCATCTGCAACCCTACAGGTGTTGCAAATGCCATGGGCAGGCGGTTATTACTTAACATCAGGTGAACCGCCAGCTTGCTTGCCACTTTCTCATATAAAAAAAATTTGGGCACCTTTAGAATAGCCACCCTGTATAACTTGTGGTAAAGGAAAATTTCTAATCATTGCATGCAATTTTGGTATATGACACCAAAGCACGCAGACAATTGTGAGTATTTTATAAAATTAAACAATTATTATAGATGTACCTATTTAATTTTATAAACAAATATACAGCGTGTCGTTACCATCGCGACAATAAATGAACACACATATAGGGGATAACTTTTTAAAGTTGTATTGAACATAAACATTTTTTAAATATCAATATTTACAGAGTTATTAAATTTTCCAAAACAAAGAATTTTAGAACACCCTTACCTATAAAAGCATAACGTAAAGTTTTTTTGTAAAGGTCACAAAGCATATGAATGGGTTGAATGAATTTAAAAGAGACAAAACATACTGTAAGAAGGAGAGGCTTGTAATGCGACGCTGTGGCGCGAGTTGTATAGGATGTTATAAATTTTGTTTCTTTTTTACTTAATTAGTTTGTTTGAAAAATATTTTTTTTTTTAATTATGGATTTTGTTTAACGTTAATATTTTTTATGATTATTGGCAAGTAGCGTTAGACGTGTGTTCATTTATTGTCGCGATGGTAACGACGCGCTGTATGAATGTGCACGTCCATTTCAGGGACCGGGTACGCTCAAGCTCTTGGCTGTGGATACATTCTTTCTTATTACGTATCTATCATAGCCTTGTGCTTGTACTACCTGTCAATGAGCTTTCAGTCTACTCTACCCTGGGCTATATGCCAGCCAGAATGGGAGAACTGCGTTCCGTCTGCACCGACCGATAATGTTGTCATAACAGAAAACTCTACCAGTAGTGCCGAGTTATATTTTGTGTGAGAATAATTTTAAATATTTATGTAATGTGCTCTTATCACGTGCTCAGCGGTGAAGGAAAGCATTGTGGAAAAACCTGCATGCTTTATAAATAATGACAAAAAATATACCTAGCCCTGATACCCTCTGTACAGAAAAGGCCTTTACATGTCCCCTTACCCAGCAGGGGGACATTTACAGGCTGTTACTTTACTTTATATACTAATTTTCTGGTTTTCGAATACGAATGATTGCAATGAATTTCAGCTATTAACAAAACAATAAAATTAAGAACAATACCCTAATTACTAAGAATCAACAATATATTGAATAATACTAGAACCTATTACATGTACTCCAATATTATATAAAGGTCAAACGTCTCTCCATCGTTCGATATACTATTATTCACTCTTGATTTTATTTTATTTCGAACTCTGACCTATTTTGTCTACAAGCAATCACCTAATGGTGTGCGATTAGCGCTGTTAATGTCATGGTTGCTGAGGCATTGCCAACATCAAAATGGGTGCGATTTCCTAGCTCACTAGAAACTGCACGTCCAATTTCCTTTTACGAGATATTGACATGTAGGATGTAGGAGCCCCGTAAATTGATTCTCTTAATTTCTCGAGGCGAACATCGACCATCAAATGGTAAAGTTGTTACTTTTTAAATATGCATAACGTTTTATTTTAGGAGAACAGTGCTCCAGCAAAGTGACGGCATCGAAGGCGGACTTGGTAAGAATTTTTATGTAACTAGCTGTGCCCGCGACTTCGTCCGCGTAGAATTTAAAATAAAAAATAATCTAAAATAAAAGTAGCCTAAGTTACTCCTTATTACATCCGTCAGTGAAAGTCCTGTCCAAATCGGTTCAGCCATTTCAGAGATTAGCTGGAACAAACAGACAGACAAAAATTGTAAAAAATATAATTTTGGTATATTTACCGTGTATACATCCATATGCATTTCGTAAAAAGCGGTTATTTTAGTATTACAAATAGACACTCCAATTTCATTTAATTGTATAGTTAGTTGTATAGATTAGGGATTGAATTGGGTTCCAAGAATGTTTTCGAATAGTCAAAACTTCACTTAAGATATCATAAATCCAAGAAATAAGGATCCGATTATAAAATATAAATTCAACGATACCAAGGAAAATAACCAGTTGTTAATTCTTACTGAACATATTTACATTACTTTATGTTAGTGCAAGGTAGTAAAGGATTAATTGAAAATTATATCTAATTTTAGATCTAGACATGCTTACATTCAAAATCCACGTGAAATCTTATTTTAGAGTACCACAAGCACAGCAAAAGCTAAAAGTAATACTTCCGTTACAATGCTCGTGGTAAAAGTAATATAACAAAATTAGGATATTAAAACAAGTGTATATATGACAGAATAAAATGATTATTTTTATCTTCTAGGTGCTCCTATATGGTATTTGACTTTGTGCCTGCTCGCGTCTTGGGTCGTTATCTTTTTAATAGTCGCTCAAGGAGTTAAGAGCTCTGGCAAGGCGGCCTATTTCCTCGCACTGTTCCCTTATGTTGTGATGATAATTTTGCTCATAAGGTATGTAAATCGTTTCTTTTTTGTTGCTTATTTTCTTATAATAATCCATATTACTTCCATATAAAACATGATTGTATACAGGGAGGCGGCTTTTTTAAGTGTATCCATTTTTTTATTAAACTCTCGACATAAATAATGTTATATAAAAATTATAAATATTTAAAATCACTCGTAATTAATTAAATACATTCATTTGAACTTTTACATACATTTATTACATTTATTTTACGCGCGATCATTCATAACTAAGACGCACATAAGTTCGTTACAAAAGTATACGACGTATTTATGAGTGACTACCGCATTGTCAACAAATTCTGTTTTTTATATATAGAATTGCTATACTTTTGAAAAAAAAGGCATATTGATTAGAATGGCAATTATTTTTTTTTATAAAAAGTTTATTTTTATTTCAATAAATGATTATACTACCGAGTCTAAACCTCCTGTGTGAATTTAGAAAAGCCACCCCGAATGTATGTATGTAATTTCAGTACCGCAATTTTACCCGGAGCAGGCGACGGAATATTATTCTTTATTACGCCCCAATGGGAAAAACTGATCGAATTGGATGTAAGTAGAATTAGTAAACTTTTAAAAAAGTCAAGATTCTAATAATATATTTACTCTTAAATAGATAGTGATTTTTTAATATTAATTGTCGTGAAGGGTGCATATAATTATTTACTTGAGTTTAGAGAAAAAATAGCAAGTGAACAGTTTCCTTGCTTAATCTTATGTGATCCAAATCTCCAATGAACGATGAATATCTACAACACTCCGTGGGCTGCAATTACGATGCTTACCTCCATTGCCTTACTTATTCAAAGTATGAAGCAAAATAATAAATTCTTCTATTTTACTCCGGTATTTTTTGAAGCAGCCGTGCTTGGATAAATCGGTGAAAGCCAAACTTTGCACCGTGCGTAGAATAACGTTCTGTGGTCACATAGAACGAATTTAATTTTATCTTCGGAAAGTCTTAATTATTGTCTACGCTTTCAGATCACATAGAACTTTTTTCGTCTGACTTATAGATATTAAGATTCAGAATAGAACAACGTTCTATCTGATTTGTGCTCCGCAGTACAAGGACATATGTACGTTTAGACACTGTTGTTTTGTACGGACTAGACTAAGCTTACTAATGTAATAGACGAGTGTAAAATACTCTATTAGAGTCAATTGATTAATTATTGCACAGTAACCCACTATTTATGGTTGAAACAAGTGCTACATGCGTTTATGTCATACATATTTTCTGTTTTTAGTAGAACAACGTTATACAGCGTGTCGTTACAACCGCGACAATAAATGAACTTGCTAATAATCATAACAAAATATAAGCGTTTACGTGTATATATGAACTGGTGACCCATCAGCTATTGCAATTTTCCGTAGGAAAACGTCACTATTACACATGAAACCTCTTATTTGCTAAATTTATATAATTATTAGATCAAAAAGTATACTGTTTGTTAATATACCTAATTATATTACGAACCTCAAAGAATAGCAACTGCTATGTATAAGAAAAACAGAAAAGAAAAGAATGAATTAAGAAAAGAATAGAAAAGAAAAAATTAATAATTTGAATCGGCCGTCCTGAACAGTTACAATTTTGCAGATGTCACGTTGTTTTATGCAGGGTGCGACTTCTGGTCTACGGTGCAATCCATTTATTAAATAAGTATATACGATTTTATGTTAATAATTTTACAATATACAAGAGAGATGTTCTTCCAGGTATGGTATGCAGCGGTGACGCAAGTTTTCTTCTCGCTTTCCGTCTGCACCGGTGCGATCATTATGTTCTCGTCATACAATGGATTTAGGCAAAACGTGTACAGGTGTGGTTAAATTATACAAACATTTTATAGTATGTTTTTATCACGAAGAATATGTAAGTGCTTGAGTATAATTCATTTCATGGTAAATGGTGATGAGGTCAGTGATGGTAAACGCTAATTCCAAAGCTTTGTATTGCAATTTCCACAATTTACAGTTAGTCAGTATAATAATACGGATGAAAGCAGATAATATATCTATGTATACATATATAAAACTAATATGATAGCTTTTGCATTTTTTTAATTGTGAAATTATTCACACTTTTTACTTCCTTTACTCGGCGAAACTCCTACACACGCAGAAGTCCTGTTTTTTGCTCATATCTACTTTCTACAATTTTAGGGACGCCATGATTGTGACAACCCTGGACACTTTTACAAGTTTACTGTCCGGTATAACAATTTTCGGAATCCTTGGTAATCTGGCATACGAGCTTAACCAAGAAGTTGGACAAGTGGTCGGCTCAGGTGGAACCGGCTTGGCGTTCATCTCATATCCCGACGCCATTGCCAAGACCTTCCAACCTCAAGTAAGACACGTTCCATCCCAGTAAAATCTCGTAAAATGAATTATCACAATATCTCATTTTTTAATTTTGTATTATTCAGCTTTAAAATCAATACAGCTTCAAGCAGAATTAATTTTTTTAATTAAGATTTTTTTTTATCTGTGATTTCAATGAAACATGGACTGTAACAAACCTTGATGCATAAAATTAACAAATAAACTTGATAGCTGTTCTCAGTCCTGTTCTTCCTGATGATGTCGGTGCTGGGCGTCGGATCAGCGGTCGCCTTGCTCTCTACCATCAACACGGTGATGCTCGACTCCTTCCCACGGATTCCCACCATCATAATGTCGGCTATATGCTGCTCCGGCGGCTTCCTCGTCGGTCTTGTCTACGTCACCCCGGTGCGTAACTTTGGCAATTTGTATGTATAACATGCAAAACTTCGAAGTTTTGAGGCGCCCATCTTTTTTTTTCTTTCCTTACCGAAGTATCAAGGAAGATTTCAAATCAGCGCGCTTTGCATGCACAATACATTCGTAAAATTTACGATAGAATAACGTCCCACGAACCCAGTGCCCATAAATCCAGTCCTGCAAGTGCCGCCTATGACTAAGCATCTGATATAGAACTTAAAACAATATTAAATAAAGGTTCTCTTGAAATTAATATCTTTTAATGTTTTCAATTATGAACAAATTATTTTATTAAGACCTTATAATTTAATGAAAAATCTTTCAATATACAGCCGGAACGATAAATGAACAGACATATATGGGATAACTCTTTAAAATTGTATTAATCATTTACATTCTTTAAACATCACTATTTACCGAGTTATTAAATTTTCCAAAATAAACAATTTTAGAACACCCTTACGTATAAAACTGTAATGTAAAGGTCACAAAGCATATGAATGGGTTAAATGAATTTAAAAGAGATAAAACATACTGTTAGAATGAGAGATTTGTAATGCGACGCTGTGGCAACGAATGAAAATGTCTCTGAATGTTTGAATCACTCAGTTTAAGTTGTATAGGTGTTACAAATTTTGTTTCTTTTTTATTTAATTAGTTTGTTTGAAAAATATTTTGAATATTTTTATGATTATGCAAGTAGCGTTAGACGTGTGTTCATTTATTGTCGCGGTTGTAACAACACGCTGTATAATAAAATGGTACCACTAGGTACTACATTGTTAAACCTGCATTGGAAAATGGTCAAATGGAAAATTGTAGGCTACTTAAAATGCCAACTAATATTACACATACTTATATTAGGCTAATTTTGTATTTACAGGGCGGTCAATACATATTAGAAATCGTTGATTACTACGGCGGAACTTTCCTTGTGCTTTTCTGCGCCATAGCTGAAATCATCGGCGTATTTTGGATTTACGGTAAATTCTTCTTAAAATTAGACATTTTAGTTATCTTCCACTTATCGTTTCATATAACTTCTTGAATTCTGGAGAAAAATTTGCTATAGCAATTTGGCAAAGCAGAGATGGCCATGTGCCTATTACTTTGAACTTGATATTTAATCGAAGAATCCAATTTAAGCAAAGTGCAGAAATTTTTACTTTTTTTGGATTTATTACATGCTCAAACGTCGTTGGCTGACATGTGATCAGAGAGTGTTTAGGTTTTGGGACTGTTAGTAACTACCATGTAGATAACTAAGTCCACGGGTGTTGTCAGAGGTAATTACTTACCATCAAGTGAACCTCTTGCTCACATTTAGTGTCGTGTGTAAATAACTAATTAATTCTTCTAGGACTCGAAAACTTCTGCCTTGACATCGAGTTCATGTTGGGAATAAAGACATCGATATATTGGAGGTTCTGTTGGGGTGTAATAACACCTTCGATGATGATTGTAGTGTTCATCTATGCCCTGGCGTCTTACGAGGCCCTGGTCTTCGGTGGTTACTATTACTACCCTACCGCCGGTTATGGTAAATATTGTACACATGAGTACCTCGGGTCATTACATAATAATGTTGCAAAAGTACGAATTAGGAACGTTTACAAATCTTACATTAAATACTTTTTTCAGTTGCCGGTTACCTCATACTATTCGTTGGAATTGCTTTCGTCCCTATAGGCATCATAGCGACGATGTATAAAAACAAGACCGGAATCTTCATAGAAGTAAGTTGAATGAAGGTTTCTCTAATAAGTCAAGTAAGATCTTTGTAGCTTATAATTAAGACTTAACTTTACAACATAAATAATTGAATACTTCTTAAGTATTATTGAAATGTCTGAGTGCCGAGTTATTTTGCCTTAACTCGTCTTCATCGACGGTTAAAAACACGTTATTTCAAAAAAAAAATGTAAAAGGATGTTATAATATATTGTCTGTTTTAAATAATTTAAGAGGCTTTTATTATAATTCAAAAATTTAAATATCTGAGACATTGGGGTCTATTATGTAATCGTTCCGTTTACGTATTAAGTATATCATGACACAACGTTTTTTTTCAGACACTAAAGCAGTCTTTCCGCGCGAAGGCGTCATGGGGTCCACGTTCGATGACGACCCGCAACGAATGGAGGCTGTTCAAGCAAGACACACAAGCTGAGCGGGAAAAACTCAACGTTTCATGGCTGAAACATATCTGGCTCAGCTTATACAACGGCTACTAATGATTAGATTCCCTAATAAGCCGATTAGGTGCATTCATTATTAAATTAAGCTTTTTTCTTCTGAATATACAAGTTTTGAGGTCGGACGGAATATCAATGCTCCAAAGTTTTAGAAACGTCAGAAACGTTAATTTAAACTTGTTCAAATTCGTAGAAAAGTAATTTCATTTAATAATGTCCAGTGCCCGAGTGTATATAATAAATTATTATATATTTCATTTGTTAACTTTTAGGACTTGGAATAACCATAGGTATAAACCATGTATAATTCTTTATCTCTCTCGACCTTTCGTCTATAATTGTACGGGATGTAAAAAGATTTGCTCTTCAAATTTGGTTATAACAATAACTAGATTAGTCATTTATTTTATTTAATGTTATTAGATACTTCAAAACTATCGGTTCTATTCTTTAATGCTTTCTCCTATAATTGTAATATGTCGTTAAAGACTTTGGTTTTACAGTAATTTATGAAATGCTGTTATTCTTTTTGCTAAGCTTATAGCTTTAAATTTTCTACTGTCATTTAGTAAGAAATATTTATAGAACATGTATATACACGTATTTAATTTAAAAATTTGTACCTATGTACACTCGTTGGTTTACATTTGCTTTACTAAATATGCAATTTACATTATGATAAAAAATAAAAATTTGAGTCCTAGTGTTGTGTAATAAATGTTTGCATTTAAGTTATATTTATATCTTCTGTAAGAGTCGAATTATTGGCATGCAATTCTCCAAAGTATGACATTACAAAATATAAGTGTCAAGGCTGTTGTATTATTTTATATTATTATTATTAAGTACAAAGATATTAAACAATTTTATTATTAAATTGCATGCGTTTTTATAATTTTTTTACATACAATTATTTTACACTTACCCGTCCCTAATTCCGTAACATGCGTGTTCAGGCAATAAGGGGTAATAAAAAGGCTACATCATTGGAATATTTTTTATGCATTTACTTTTCAAGATTGACACCAAAATTTAATGAAATTAAATAAATGAAATTTAAGTTTCAAATAGACATGGCGACATCTCTCGTTCGAATAATAGTTCTAAAACGATATTTGAAATTGTTTGTGTGCTGTAAAGGCGCTAAGCATTGTTTATAACAATATAAATTCTAAAAAACAATGTACGATGGTAGAGCCACACTGCAGCCTCGGTTGTTGCACAAATGGGCAGGTTCGTCCGGCTAAGTACCACGGCCCCACAGAAGTAAGTGGAAAGTGGAAGTATAATACATTTTGCGTTTCGTCTGGTGAGTGAGGCGGCCGGAGCCCAATTCTCATAAGGTTGTCAACGCATCTGGAACCCTCGGGATGTCCATAGGCGGCGATATTTTATAACATCAGGAACTAGTATAAAAGTACTATAGTAAAAAAGTTAAAATACCTGTTGGTGTGGCAATAAAAAGCCACTTAGTGATTAAATGTTTAGGCGCGATTAAGGAAAACTGGATCCGCTTCCCGAAAAACTTTTCGTCCATTTTTTTCTACAAATTTTAAAGTTTGATGGGTCAATTAAAAATTCCCTATGATACAAATGAATGGCATTTTTTATTAATGGTTCGAAAACAAGTCTGAAGACAGGGTACTTCATAATGGTAATAAGTATCCGTTAATACCGTCGCCGTTTATTCAACTATTTTAAAAAAGAAATACGAAAATATGAAAATTGATTTTTTTATAAAAGTACTAGATACTTAAAAAGTAAAGTTTAGTTTACTTTTCCAAGATAAGCGACGGAAGGTTGAAAGAAGGTCCATAAATTGGTCCATAAATGCGCTGAAAATGTATTTCATCCATCACTAAATGACAAAGAACTATGTGCATGGACATCATTAAACCATGATAAACGGTTTTTACGGTTCCTTTCCCGTTTTTGCAAGGTAAAAGAAAACAACCAGGCACGTCCAGCCATTTTCGAAAACTGATTATAATTGTGTTTTAAGTTTAAGTCTTCAGCATATTCAAATACAACTCTTTTAATTGCATTAGCTGTGCATAAATCCATAAAAAATATTCGCCATCTTCTGAATGCTTCAGCTGTCAAATGGCTTTTCAAATGTTATTTGAGTTGCCAAAAGAATTGTTAAACCCTTTGAATTGGTCATTCTGATCATTAAGGAGATCATTCTGATCAATTCAGAGAGTTTAACAATTCTTTTGGCAACTCAAATAACATTTTTGAGAATTCATTTGACAGTTGATTAGTTGATTTCTACGATGATCAGTGTTTCATAAACCGGGAGTATGTTAACTAGAACCGACAAATTATAGGTACATTTTATTCTTAAAATATCGCATGAACTCTCTCGAAGTATATAAAGACGCAGTTTAAAGAATTTGAAGAAACTTTAAATTTATTTCATATCCCTATACAATATCATTTGAAAAATTAAATTAAAAAGTCCATGAGGTCATGAGTCCAATATAAATTTTAATGAATTAGAAATGGAATTAGTTGAATTTCAGTCAAGTTCCATATGGAACCAAAAATTGGGTGATTTAAGAAATGATTTCGATATTATTGAATGTAATATTCGATTATTAGTATTTTACTACTGTTAGTCGATTATTAGTAGTAAAATAGCAGTAAAATAGTCGATTATTAGATAAAATAAATAGATTTGCAGAAGATGAAATTCTAAGTACATGGAATTCAATTCCTGACACGTTAAAATGTTTAAAAATATTAATAAAGGTAATTTTATTAATATTTTCATGGACGTGGGTACGTGAATCTCTATTTTCAGAATTAAATTTTATAAAAAAATAAATATAGGAGTAGAATGACGGATGAGTCGAGCTCTACATGAGTACTATTGAAATTTAACTAAATATGAACCAGATGTTAAATCTTTATCATCTTGTGTACAGCAAAAATCACATTAAAAACAATTGATTTTGTTTCTACCATATTGCTTTTTATATAACATTGATTAATAAAAAAATGTTTAAAGAAGAATTGCTTTTATTTATTTATTACGTATAGTTTAGTTACTTACGAATAGTTTCACCACGCTAAAGTTTCGAATGAAATTTTATTTGAGCACGTTATCTATTTAACGTTTTAAATTTTTATGACTTAGCGGCACGGACATCATAAAAGGTTTGCCATCCCTGCTGTATACCATCAACCGTGCACCATTATCGTATTGTTTTAACATTGTACCGTCACAAACATGATTCTTTTCAGGACTTTATCATTTTTAAATTATTAACTTTATGTCGTAACAGGTCCTAATTGAGCGAAAAATGTCAAAAATGGTTGAAACTAAAATATTTTCACATTTCACGATTTTTTTTTATATTATCGTTTTAAAATATATTGAGAAAAATCAATGACTTCTTTTAGTCAAAAACGGATTTATATCTTTATATGGTACATGAAAAAAGTCTTGAATATCCCGATTATTTACCTAATAAAAATTAATTATCAAGATATTGAGGTCTTGCTATCTCAGATTTTAAAAGAAATGCAGAAAAGGTTTAACTTACATTTAAACCGCTTTAGTAAAAGCTGAGCGATGATAAGATGTCCAGTGTCAAGAGCGCAGTGTCCAGGCGCTCGCCTTTAATTTAATATACTCGAGAAACCTAAGTTCGATCTCCGGTGCCAGCAACAATGAAATTTTTTAACTGCTGACTTATCTCGTGCTCAATGGTGAACTAAAACATCGTGAGGAAACCTGCATATTTTCAAGTTAATATGTGAAGTCCGCCGATCCGCAGTGGGGAGGCGTGGTGGACTATGCCCTGATACCCTCTGTACAGAGGACCTTGTATCTTGTATTAACTGATGTTTTTGCTTTCAGTCCCGAGACCAGGCCGTCTATGTACAGAGGAGGCCTTTGCGCTGGCTGTTAATAGGCTGTTACTTCAATTTAGTATATGTATTCTATACGTTGAGGCCTCCATTCCGTGAACCCAATGTCCCCTTTTAGCCGACTACGCCTACGACATGCAAAATAAACCTAATGCCCGAAGCATACTGACATACAGACCATATTTAAAAACGCTAAAGAAGAAAATAGAACTAACACATTATTATTGTTAGGAAAAGTGGACTTGTCACGTGGTGGCGAGTAACTATTTTTTGCAACATAATAATGGGTTTTATTTAAGATATTACAAGGGTTAGATAAGTGAAATCAGCGTGATTATGGAGACAAATTACTTAAGTATTTAACTACTTTATCTAAACACGAATATATAGAATATAAATTTGACAAAGTGAGTCTATGCAATCAGTTTGGAGATCGAGATAGCTGATAAAATGTATTTCTTCTATCTTAAACTTTTATCACCGTGCGTATTACTTTGTGTTGCAATAAATACCATGTATATTTTTGATTAAACTCTTTTACAGTGTACGCGGCGTTGAGTGTGTGCTACCATAATTTCCTATGGTGAATAGTGATTAAATTTTTGTTTATTGTCAATTGCGTAAAAATTTTATGGGCAAAAATATAGAATATTATAAACGTTTTAGGATCCGCAAAGCGACACGGTGAAAGGATTTGACAATGGAGCTTTCAACGCTGCACCTGAAAAAGAAACCGAAGTACAGTCTAAAAATGATATCGAAACGACTAAACCCTCAGTAAGTTTTGTAAACAATAATGAGTGATACACAAACAGTCAAGTACATACAAAATTAAGTTATATAAATGAGGCAATTGCTTAAAACCATTTCTGTATCGCATGTTAGCATGATCCTGGGAGTAATAAATCTTTCCCAGTTCCATCGCTGCCTTGCACAACACGTCATCCTTTATTGACCCAAAGAGACCCTATAGGAATAACGAATGCTATGGATGTGTTAAATCGACGTTGAAACCGTTGTATATAGTTATATGTTGAATTTAATAACGATTTAAAATTTAACGGTGGTAGGGCCACGCAGCAGCCTCGGCTGTTGCACGAATGGATAGGTCCGTCCGCGTAAGTACCACGACCTCACAGAAGACCAGCGTAAAGTGGAAGTATGACAAATACTTTCGCGTTTCGTCTGGTGAGTGAGGTAGCCGGAGACCGACCTTCAAAAGGTTGTCAACGCCTCTGTAACCCTCGGGTATAACAGATGTCCATGGGCGGCGGTATTCACTTACCATCAGGTGAACCGTCTGCTCGTTTGGCAACTTTTTAGATAAAAAAAAATATTAAAATACTGTAAAAGTATTAATAAAAATAAGTGGTGTTAAATGAATATAAAGCGATTGTAACAGATATGTACGGGATTATATATATATATAAACTATAGGATGAAGTTATCTAAAAGATAAGAAGGATGTTTTATACAATTTACATAGATACATTTGATACTGTGTATTACTTAAACGGGATTTACCCTTGCAGAATGAAAGTCCATTGGAGCGGCCAAAATGGGATAATCAATTGGAATTTCTTATGTCATGTATAGCCACATCTGTGGGGCTTGGAAATGTCTGGCGATTTCCATTTGTGGCTTATCAAAATGGTGGTGGGGCGTTTCTCATCCCCTACATAATTATTCTTCTGATTATTGGAAAATCGATGTACTACTTAGAAACGGTCCTTGGTCAATTCAGCAGCAGTAACTGTGTTCGTATATGGGCACTCTCGCCAGCTATGAAAGGTGAATATTTCTATACAGATTTATATATATTAAGCAAAGCCCAAAATAAAGACACTTTAATAAACTATTTTAAATTTATCAGGTACGGGATACGCGCAGGCATTGAGCGCAGTATACGTCCTATCGTACTACGTGTCAATCATCGCATTGTGCTTCTTTTATCTGGCAATGAGTTTTCAGGCCACATTGCCTTGGGCTGTTTGTCAAGCCGATTGGGCAAATTGCGTACCTTCGGGGGAATCAGTCAATATGTCTGCCATTGAAGGCGACCCGGTTAGCAGCGCAGAACTATACTTCACGTATGTTGTTATATTTTATGCAAACAACCTTCTCACTAGGTAATAGTCTTATAGACGAGGGACTTGCACAAACATTAAAGCAGGACTCACTCCATACGTACCCTGACTTTGCTTATCATTGTGGATCATACAATATTTTGTGCCAATGCAATCTTTAAAACAAAGTTGATGGCAAAGGCGATCTCGAAACAAGAATAATGCATATTAAACAGTCTCATTTTTTCAAACTTAAGACTTGAACTAGTTATCCACATAGCAAGTAGTATTTAGGTAATTACAATTCTTCCAAAAATATCTAATTGAAGTATTTAGATAAACGTTTGGTTAAATGCGCTTATCATAATATGACCTGCATAAAAAATATTTTGAATGTAAAAAAACTTTTAAAAATAGTTAATAACATATTATTGTATCATTATAAAAAAAAGTTATGTGAATAAAACTACTTTCTGCAGGCACAACGTGATAACTTAATTATCAAGTGAATAAACTATGGGTATTTTACTACATGTTGTTATTTTTCACATTTTGGGTTTGTTTTTATTGGTCTACTAGATCAACATTATTTATCGAACCTAATCAATAATAAGAAATACCTGTATCGAAGTTATGTATATTTTTATAATACCTAATATGGGAACATGATATTTATTGAACAAAAAATAGTTAGCTACAATATAATATTGTTATAATATTTTTAATATAATATATACCAAATTTCATTTTATCCTAGACCACGCGGTACGGTGTCAAGAACGCTATCTGCTTCTCTCCCCTGAATTACATTAATTTAGCATGACCATTCTATCAATCAACAAATATATTACCACCATTACAGCTATTTCTGTCGACCTAAAAATCTTTATACATATAATTTTTCTAAATATATATAATTTTTTTTGTGTGTTCAGGTGGATCATTTAGATTCATAAAGTTATTAAAAAAGTTTGAAATTTTCGAATTTATGACGTATGTATAGGACGTCTGTTGAGTCCGCTAGTAATAAATAAAAAAAAATGCTTTTATTTCTATAACATGTTGCTGAGAGACTACCCAATTTTAATATATTAATATAAAACAAAGAACAATTTTTTCATTCCTAACTAGTGAATGAAGATGTTTAAAGAGATGCTTTTTTATCATAGACGAACAGTCCTGAGGCAGTCTGATGGAATTCACGATGGAATTGGTAAGTATTGCTGTTTATTTCTCCATGAAAATATATTATGTTCCATGAGTAAAATAAATATCACTTAAAAACGTCTATTATAACGATCGAAGTAAAAATAATCTTTAACATATTTTAATATATGTATTTATTTGGACATTGACCTATATTTCATTTGTATGTTGGAATCTTAGTTAATAAAGCTTATTTTTTTGGCAGGCACACCTTTGTGGGATCTTACATTATGCTTGTTCATATCTTGGATTATAATTTTTGTTATCGTCGCTAGAGGAGTCAAAAGCTCCGGCAAGGCTTCATACTTTTTGGCTCTATTTCCCTATGTGATTATGATCATATTGCTGATTCGGTAAGTACTCTTTTAAACACCTTTCTTTTGAATAAATAAAGCGTGAACTTAATAAGGAAAATTATTACAGTGCTGTCACATTGCCTGGTGCTGGTAACGGAATATTGTTTTTCATAACACCAACTTGGGAAAAAATTTTGGAAATCAGTGTGAGTAAAGTAGTTTAGTGAACCGTAAACGCAGTGTTGTCAGCACATCTTCAAGGTATTACAAATTATATAGAGTTTTGACCTGGCAAATAAACATTTTAGGTATGGTACGCGGCGGTCACTCAAGTTTTTTTCTCTTTGTCTGTATGTTCTTAAGGGTATTTAATGTGATATCACTATTTTCTTCGGTTTTACTTGATATTATTTTAGACTTCACATTTTACACTATCATATTGAGCGTAGCTTAACGGACATTTCACATTGAAATGACATGCAACAATATATGAAACTTATTTAACTTTTCCAGTTATTCGCTGTGCTATTTTTCCTAATGATGGCGGTGTTGGGCGTAGGATCGGGTGTCGCGTTGCTCTCGACCGTTAACACTGTTCTACTAGACTCCTTCCCCCGAGTGCCAACCATTTACATGTCGGGTATAACGTGCATTGCAGGGTTTCTTGCGGGACTCGTCTACGTCACTCCGGTAAGTCCGTTCGACTGACCATTTTTGCTTTATTTTCATAATAATCGACAATGGAAACATATTCTAAAGGCAAAAATGAGCATTAAGAGGAATTCTTGCGGTAAAATATATTAATATCACTTGACCTCACTACAAGTGACACTGAGAAAAAGAACAGTCTTATGAACGCTGTAGTATATAAAAATACCTATAATGCACTTAGCATTATAGTTTTCTTATATACTTGACTTCTTCCTGAACGTAATCGATATTTATGTTAAATTTCGTTGATACGAAAAACATAAGCTATAATTCCGTCATGTATAAACGTGTTTATTTTAGGGAGGACAGTACATATTAGAATTAGTTGACTACTATGGAGGAACATTTATGAGACTGTTTGCAGCCATTACTGAAACTATCGGAGTGTTTTGGATTTACGGTAATATTTTTGATTGTAGAAAACATATTTGAATATAGCACAAAAAAATATTTTCAATGCCATTCATAATATTGGGACTTTTTCCTTGTCACTGATAATTTTTAGGTACGCTTTCAGTTCATTAACTATAATAGATCCACGATAAGATCCGAACAGCCCCAAATAAATATACATTCAAAATGTTAGTTCAAGAATACGTATGAAATCATTGGTTTTATTTGGCTTATTCTATTTTCGTTTTTTATTATGCATAGGTATATGTGCATCTACAACATTTTTTATATATATAATTAATGTGTGTATATACAGCGTGTCGTTACCATCGCGACAATAAATGAACACACGTCTAACGCTACTTGCCAATAATCATAAAAAAAATATTAACGTAAAAAAATTCCATAATTAAAAAAATATTTTAATAATATGAAAATATGCAGGTTTCCTCACGATGTTTTCCTTCACCGCGGAGCACGTGATAAGTCACCATTTAAAGTTGAAATCTTCATTGGAGCTGGCACCGGAGATCGAACTCAGGTTGCTCGAGTATATTGAATTAAAGGCGAGAGCCCGGACACTGAGCTATCACGGCTCCTCACTTTAAAGGATTTTTTAAAATTTTTAGATTTACTCCTCGGTTTAGCACCTACCACCTACTTCAGTCTTCGCTGTTGCACGAAGTGACAGGTCCATCCGGGGAAGTTTTATGCTCTCTTATGCGTTTGTTTCTCTGGTGAGTGAGGTAGCCAGGGCCCATTTCATAAAAAGATTTTAACGCATCTGCTAACCTACGTGTGTTGAAAATGTGCATTAGCGGCAATTATCACTTAAAAGTGTCATACAAAAAAAGTAATTATATTAATTGTAGGTATAATGTTGTCGATTTCAAGGACTATGTAAAAATTAATCGATTATATTGCCCGATTATAGCTGAAATAAGCACTAGCATATTTATATTGTTGTCTAAGTGACGGGGAAGCGAGGTATTGGAGACTTAACTCCGTCAATTATCGACTGTCGTAATTGATATTTCTACCCCAAACCCATGGGTTCTGGCTAGCCCACCGGTTCTGCGTCAGATGAATCTTTAATAGTCTCGAGACTGAAAGCAAAAACATCAGTTAATACAAGATACAAGAATTGATATTTGATTTTTTAGACATTTTTACTGCTCCCACGAGCAGTGATGTCTCGGAACTCGAGTGTACCTAGTATAAATACATATTGTGGTGGTATGGCGTCCCCTTCCTAGAATGCGAGGCCTATCTGTAAACTATATATTTACATAGAGTATTGTAATGTTAGCGATCAGAAAAACTACCTTTGCTTTCAACCCGAATCAGCGACATGTTTTCGAACTCCCTGCTTGCCTTTTCAATGTTTAATTATATGTAATTAATTAGATTTTATGAAAAAGTGCGGTTCTTGTTTGTATATAAATAGTATAAAGAATAACATAAAATTTTATCATTTACTGCCAGCCTGCCTCCATATGACTAATTTTATGATTACTTATGCAGGTCTAGAAAATCTGTGCGTGGACATTGAGTTCATGTTAGGACTGAAGACATCTTTCTACTGGCGCATTTGCTGGTCCATCGTCACTCCTACTATCATGATAGCGGTGTTCTTCTATGCTCTAATCACGACGGAAGCACTTTTATTTGGCGGGACCTATCAGTATCCTCCAGCGGCTTACAGTAAGTGAAGACATTATGATTCACACTTAAATAAGTACTTTTGGATTTAAACAACATATATCGACTTTTTCAAGTCACTAACAATGCCAATACGATAAAACTAATAAAATGAATAACACTTGCTTGGCTTACTAATTAAGCGTTTAGCTTGTTCCATAATAACAATAACAAAGAGAATTATTGTTCTTTAAAGAAGTTTAGTAAATTACGTTGCGAAAACTAGAAAGTTAAACATGACTAGCCAATAATTGTGTCAACATAAGAATTTTGGGTCGTAGCGATAACGTACTGTTTATCAAAACATATTAATATTATAATCAGCAATATCCAGTCGCAATTACTTACCGTTATCTCTAACATAAATTCTAAAGATAATGACAATTATTATAAAATTATTATTATTCCATTTTCTTGATTAAAATTCATGAGCTTTTTTGATGTTTTTCAGTTGCTGGCAACTCCCTCCAATATATAGGAATGTCATTGATACCCATATTCATGGCAAAGGCGCTTTGGAAATACAGATCTAACAATATTGTGGAGGTATCTATAAAATTTCAAACAGTCTTCATTTGGGTACAAATGAATTAACAAGTCAACTAATTAATCTTAATGATTAATTAGTTTGTCGTAAGTTCCAAAATACTATATAATTAAGGGTATTCCAAACAAGTACTTATTTTGCACATAACAGTGTCGTTAAATGTTAACTACACTTTTACATATAAGTTCGTTCCCCCAATCTTTGCCAAACAATCCGAAGGCGGCTGCTTACACAAAACCTTTTTTTTTTATTTATTATAAAACATCTACTGGGCTCACACAGCTTAAATGTACCTTTGATGAGCATCTAGTGATACAATGGTTTATTTTTACGAACATTTTCAGTATTCTGTTTCAGGAGAATAAATCATAGTACCTGGAGGACCGAACTTTGCTCGTTTTTTTTTTGGTAAATCATGTATTTTGAAAATAAAAAAAATAAAGAAAATGATCTGGTATAGAAAAAAAAGTAAAAAAAATAAGTGTGTAAAATGATCGTGATACGAACCGCGGCCGTCTGTTTTGGGGCCGCCCGATTACCGACCGAGCTATTATAACATTTTTTTGCGTCGAAATTTACTGTCATATTGGAATGATATTTTTCATTCCCTGAAAACAGGGATAAAAGGACATTTTCTAAAAACGAAACCTAGCTAGATCGATTTTACGCCCCCGAATCTACGCACATACTAAATTTCATGAAAATCGCTTGAGCCGTTTCCGAGATTCCGATTATATATATATATATATATATATATATATATATATATATATATATATATATATATATATATATATATATATATATATATATATATAGATATCGTGATGAGTCAATTATCGGTGGAAATCTCATATATGTAGATAAATGGTAGGGCCACGCAGCAGTTACGGCTGTTGCACGTATGGGCAAATCCGTCCGAGTAAGTACCACAACTCACAGAAGACCAGCGTGAAGTGGATGACCAGTGTGATATTTCTGCGTCATCTGGTGAGTTAGCCGGGCCCACTTTATTAAGAGGTGGTAACGCGTATGCGGCCTTCTCACATAAAAAAGAGTAGCTCGATTATTGCACTCGAATGTAAGTGTAAATAAAAATAAAAGAAGCCATCTTCACTCAGGTGCATTAAAAATTTTCGCGACCTTTATAGCTTGAACCGTACATGTAGAGTATTCGTGAGGGTCTTGAGACCAATTTATTCTCCCTTAAAACAACTAAGAAGTCCGCCAAACCGCGGGACCGCTTGGTGGACTATGTCCTAATACCCTCTGTACAGAGGGCGTTTGCCCCGCAATGGGATATTTATATACTGTTACTTACTTTTTTACACAGCACTATTTTCAAATATAAATGCTTTTGAATGCATTGTGTTACAGACCGTTAAAGCAGCATTCCGTAAAAAGACCACGTACGGACCTCGCGAACCACAGCTACGTGAAGAGTGGAAACAGTTTCGGCAAGATGCAATATATGATAGAGAACTAAAACGTAAAAATTGGTTTCATCACATAGGACTTTCGTTGTACGGAGGGTACAGGAGAGGGAAAAACTAATTATCTTATTTACAAGAAAATCTCGTTACTAAATAATTTGTACCAAATAATTCTAGTGTTTTATTTAATGTCGGAATAAACCCAAAAAGACCTATATAGGTGTTAAGCCAGCTATACTCAACCTGCGGCCCGCGGCCGCATGTATCCTACTAAGCTTTTGTGGTTGACCCATTTGTTATTTTATTAAACTATTAAACTATTTTAAATTTCGTGGTTATAAGAAAAATTGGAAGCGCCCTGAGAGGTGTTGCAGAACATTGCCGCGCGTGCAGTGTTATTATTGATACGGTAATATACAGTAATTATTATTAATTTATTTTTACGTTTACAGCAGAGGTATGATTGTATTATGGCAAAACTTCATTTTATTATTTTCATAAATACGACAATCAATGTTTGAATTAGCTATTTTTTGCATTGAGCGTTTGTACATAGTTCCGTATGGAGTGAAACCGCATGATCCCCTTTTGCTTGGCTTCTATACCTAGATCTTTAAAACTACGCAACAGGGTTTTTTTACTAGATAGAGTGATTCAAGAGTAAGATTTATATGTATAATACATTTCACCCGCGCGAAGCCAGGGCGGGTCGCTAGTTTATAATAAACTAGCTGTTGTCCGCGACTACGTCCGCGTCGAATAGGATGAAAGCGAAAAATTCAGACAGATACAGGCGGATAATAAATAATAAATACATATAATAAAAATGTAACTTGTCTTTGTACATGGAAGATATTTGAAAAAAACTATTATTAAAGATCCCCCTTTATCAACACAATAGTGCCCAAAACAATGGTTGTTAAAATTTTTGTCCGTGTGTATGTGCGTTTGTGCGCGTAATCTCAGAAACGGCTTAACCGATTTGGATGCAACTTTCACTTATGCATTGTAGTACTTCACTTAACATTTAGTGTTAGTTTTATTCAAATCGGTTCATAAATAAAAAAAGTATATCAACTAGAAAAAAAAGTAATCGCTACAGATGAATTGGGTGAAACTATAGTTAACTACAATTATATAATGGTCTGTAAAATGATGATGATTGTCAGATTATATAAATTTAATAACCAGCCAAATGCGAGTCACAATCGTGAACGAAGAGTTCCTTACCATAATCTATAAAAAATCAATAAAATTGTGTCCGTTTTATGAGAGCCCCACTTAAAAAAAAATATTCTGATTTCCTTTATTTATTATAGCGTCATCAGAAATACATCATCTGTGAAAATTTCAACCGTCTAAATATAACATTTTATGAGATACATCTATCAAACTGATGCTAGTAGTCTAGCTAGCATCTGTCTTTTTGTTTGAACTCGCTAATCTCAGCTACTACTGGTCCGATTAGAAAAATTCTTGCACTATTACATAGCCAATTTGGTAGATACGGGCCGAACCGCGGGCGAAAAGCTAGTGTACAATAAAATATCACTTTAAATACCACATTCATAGTTTTGCCTTCTGGGAAACAATTACTATGGGTCACACAAATAATTGTCCAGTGTGAGAATCGAACCCACGCCGAAGGCAATGCCTTGACAACTGCGCAATGATCAGTGATCTAGCGAGTGGTATTCGCGAATTAACCTCTAACTGACTCCAATGTGCGAGATAATGATTGGTGTCTATGGCGAAATGGGTATCAGCACTAAGTCGTGTTTGGTTTTCATTAGATTGTTGAGAACAAATCGTTCTCATTCTTTTAAATTCTATCGAGGCATTTTTGTAATAAATACTAAAAGGTAAATTCAATGATTTAGAAAACACTACAAAATAAGTATCTTAATTACAAAAAAAATATCAGATACAATTTGTGAGTCAGTGATAAAAAACACCCAATTTCCAAACGACAAAGCAAAATAATATCCGAATATCCTAGCCTAACCAAATCTATATTCCTAAACAGTGACAGATTTGTTCGCTGGTCGCCCTAGGCTCATTAAAGATTAAGAGAAAAGACTCGCTGGAAGGCACAAAAAATTAAACAAAGAAAGTTAGTATAAGATATTATGGAGCCTACGAATGGTACCTACTTATCAGGCCCGCTTGATTTGTTATAATTTTCATGGAATATCGCCTACGCAAAGAAGCGAAAGGCGTAAGGCAAGCAACGCTACTAAAAGGCCCTACATTGGCCCCTCCGAGTACGCGGCCTATAGAGAAATCCACTACTGTTCCTAACAAATAACCAAATCGCAAACCAAAATCAAGAATATCCCTATACCGAGCAAAACTAAAATCGTACCTATCGTATAAATCTCAATTGAAGAAATTCGCATTATTATTATTAAAATGCAAATGGTCGGCACTTGTCCCTTAATTAACTTGTATAATTGTATTGTACAGTGCATTTTATGAAGAACAACGCCATCTAGTTTTTGCATGGGAACTAATTCCTTATCGTAACTTACCTATGCTGGAATGTAATTCTATTAATTGAAGAATTTGTTAATAAATACTAAAAAAAGTATGTTTTTTTATTATGAAAATGAAAATTCACGTTATCGTGGTTAAAATTTTATCACTGATAGTACATTTTTATGGATGGTAATTTTTTGTATTGGGAGCTACTATGACATTTGAAAAAAATTAAAAACTGTTCCAATTGATCCAGTAGCTAATAATGTGTATATTCTGTTTAAGTAAACTAATTACGATCAAACGATACTAAAATATTGCGAGGAAGTTGTACTGTCACCCTGTCAAATACCCCGTTAAAAATCGATCCTATGGTTTGTGAGTTTTCACATAGCTTTTTTTTTTAGTGAACCAATTGCAATAATAACAAAGCTTTAATGTTGCACAGAATTAATCTTGAATACTTACAAAAACATAGAAATTAGTCCAGTAGTAGGATAACTGTGATAACTGTTTGCGACTGCACTGCTTTAATCTTAAAACTCCCATATCTCCCGTTTGAGTGAAACTATTGAGATGAAAAAAAGCCTAGGTACTGCCCCAAGCTTTGCTTAAGTAACCAGTGAAAACTGCATCAAAATCCGATAAGTAGTTTTCAAGTTTATCGCTAACAGACAGACAGACAGACAAAAATTCCAAAAATGGTTTTTATGTTTTCTATGACACTTTTTATGATACCCTTTTTCATTTTTTCATAAATATATTCAATGTACAGATACGCCGATTCTACTCTTTTATTATAGTATAGATACACCGTCAACTTTCGCACATCCTTGTTCTCGATGTATTCTTCGCCATTATAATACTTAATAGGCCCATTCCATTAAGAGTAGCTTTTACAAAATGTTTAAAAAAATTTACACGTAATTGTCTATGGAGGTCATCTATTTAATTATATCGGATAATGCATCTATCAAGAAACGATTTTCCAAGCCATAGACAGCCCGTATTGCTTGCTTTTACAAAATAAATACTTTATCTAAACCGGATGCTGAAGCCCAAAGTTATAATGCTGTGAAATTAAGCATAATAAACTAATTTAGCTGTTGCCTCGTTTGTTAGCTGCGTAATCTTGCGTATGACAAAGATGGGTGCCCTAACTAAACAAACAAAATCATCCGCAAACAAAACAATTTGAGACTTACTCTCTGCCACATAATTATGGCAAATAATTTATATAAACTAAGAACATAAATGGGCACATGATCAATATCTGAAGAACCCCCATTTGTACTAATAACCCCGATGACTATGTACGTAACTAATACGAAGAAACAAAGTCAATGGTTGATTTGCGAATAGAATAATATTCAATTTCCTGATAAGAATTACCTATATAATCTGCACAGAACGGTCACGGAAACACTAACGGTGTCATGGAATGTTTCCTAAGACTGTAGGATAAGAGAAACTAATTCAAATTTCGCAGTTGTAACAATCGCGAAAACCAAGAAATAATAATAAATATTTTTTAATTTTTTGCGACCTACGAGACCACGACTTATAGGCGTTTGAGCCACTATGAAAAAAAGGTAAGAGTACTGTGCTAAACATTAATTATTAATACAGGGAGGTTTTTCTGTGTCCATTTTTTATTAAATTCTAGACATAAATAATGTTATATAAAAATACTTATAATTTTAAATAAACTCATATTAAAAAATATTAGAGACATGTTATAAAACATAGCTTTTACAGACTTATACAACTATAAGTCAACAATGACTCAATAATTGGATACCAATAACACTTAGCTTTTCCAACAGAGATTATTGGAGACAAGTTATAAAACACAGCTTTTACCGATTACCCCCCACTCTAGGGTTTAGGAACCCTATTACAACAAACTTTTAAATAAGTCGCAACAAACTGTACTAATACATTATTGATGAATTATTAATTAGATTAAATATGTACCATAATTAAAAAATTATAACAAAAGCATTATGCTGACTATTTTAACTGAACGATATAATATACCTATGTATTATCCATACCCATTTATCTATTTCAAACTTTGATTAATTACGTACACTTCTATATTTACAGTCCGACATCAAGTGCTGTGGTACCGTCTCACATAAATTCAAATACATTAAAACAAATGTATTCGCAGGGCATCTCGCACATTCCCTCAATACATTAATCGTTCCATAGAATCAATAAGATTAATTTTTATAAAGTCAATAATAAGGAATTAAATAAATTCTGTGCAGTAAAAACTTGTAGAAACTTCATGTTTTCTTGCGATTACATTTCAATAAGTCATAAATTTAGTTTCTATTTGCGATACGTGAAGCGAAGGTACATAATATATTTTACATTTTGTTCTATCGGGGATAGTATATAAATATTAAATATAGATATGAATTAAACATTTAATGCAGCGCCTTCACAGGAGTAGGGCAAGAACAGTCGCTCTAGGTGCCAGGTAGCAAGCAAAACGCTAAAAATCGAATGCAAAGGACAATTTTCACATAAAGAAAATATTAATGGCATGAAAATATTAATATGCATAAATGAAAATATTATTGGCATAGCAGCATACATTTTCTCAATGTTAAAGAATCAGGGGTGTGATAATTACAGCAACTTGATTTAATTTAGATTCAATAAGAGTTGAATTGTTGATATTTGCAATAGGTATATTGATTTGGTTATTATTATTTATTGACGATTGGTTATTATTATTTATTAAACCTAGTCAGCACCATTTATGCAAAGTGTAAGCACCGACCGACTGACCCTGAACAAAGGCTAGGCCTGGCACTAATTGCATGTAACGGACTAGACCTATAGCGGCGTCCATTAATCAAGTTTTTTTAAAGAACGGCATTATTAATCGTTAATTTGAAGAGGAATTATAAAGGCAACGACAAAAAAATAGCTTTTTGAAACAGATTGTTAGTTACCGTTTACCATTATAAAAACGACGAACCAATCATACTAAACTTTCCGTAATTAATTATAAGCTCACGTGAATCAAAAACCACCCAACTCCATCGAAATACTGCCAAACTATCCAAATATGTACATAAATCTAAGACCACTACCTAGTAACTTAAGGTACATTCATTTATTATGTCATATAACATGTTTTATTTTATCAATCCTCCTCTCGGCCAGAGAAAATCATTTTAACCCTCTTTTAGGCCTCACGATTACAATATCGATAACTTCGATTGTGCATCGAAGTTGATGATTCGGATTCGAATTTACAAATATTTTAATTAATGACGAGATGTTTCTCTTGTTTTTATAAAGTTACTAGCTGACCAGGCAAACGTTGTTTTGCCATATGAATTATTTGTAGGGTAGAAAAAATATTTGGTGTGGCCCACCCTTAACACTTGGTGGATGAAAAATAGATGTTGTCCAATTCTCTACCCTGGCCGATATGCACACAAAATTTCACGAAAATCGGTCGAGCGGTTTCGGAGGAGTTCAATTACAAACACCGTGAAATGAGAATTTTATATATTAGATTTACTGAAAATTAAACGACAATTTTTCCAAGTAAGGTTTATTGTTATATATTTTTATTATATGACATTAAAGTGGTACACGTAAACTTCGCATGCTACTGCCAAAATGCTTAGTTAAAACACATAAAAGTGAGACAAGTACCTAAACTAAAAAAAATATATTTGCCTTTAATTATTTAATGATTTACTTATGCTTAGACTTCTTCTTCTTTTTGCTAGATTTCTTTTTATGTTTACGCTTCTTCTTCTTCTTCTTATGATCGTCTGAACTCGAGTCTGAGTCACTATCGCTGTCACTTGCAGCGCGTTTTTTCTTTTTCTTGTTACGTTTTTTCTTCTTTTTGCGTCTTCGGGCATCTGAAGAAGATGATGAAGACGTTGCGTCAGAATCACTTGACGATTCACTGTCAGAATCGGGCTTCTTTTTTACGTTAGTCAGATCTAGTTTAATTGTATCTTCCAGTTTCACTTTCTTTGAGTCACTTGGCCCAATAGGAGAAAGAGAACGTTCACGTTTCTTTAAAACGTCATCTTTAATTTCGTTATCTGATTCCACAGTTTCGTCGTAATCAGGTTCAAAATGAGCCTCATCTAAAATTGATTTTTTCCTTTCACGTTCTGCAGAAGTACCCTTACTGTCAGTTCTTGGATTTTTATCATGCCCAAAACTACGCGTAGCAAATTTGTCATCCACATTTGACTTTTTATCATGTTTACTATTTCTTTCAAGTTCTCTCTTTTTATAATCATTGCTACGAGTATCTTCATTTCTGACGTCATCGGTTATAATACGTTTATCTGATTTAGATGTATTCATCCGATTGAGTGAGTCGGATTTACGAACTCTTTCCCTTTCTACTGTAACTCTACGATACATTTGTTCTTTTTTAGGGGTTTTAGATCTTGATTTCACTCGTTCTACTGTACTTTGTACAACACGCATTTCTCTTGTCCTTCGAACATCTTCTACTTTACCACCCAATCTTTCCTTGACAGATAAACGAGGAGGAGGAGTTTTAGAATATCTTCTTTTTCTATCATTTAATTCAATGGATCTTGGTTCAGAATCTGTTACGGGGACAGTAATCTGAATATTGTTCATAGAATTTTTTTGTTGAGCTTCATCCCCATATAGTTTTACACGGTCACTACTTATCTTTTTTATTTCTATTGGTCGTAAGGAATTTATAGCTTTTGCAAATATAGCATTTTCAGCTCTCTTAATGACTTCTGATGTCACTTTACCACTATCTTCTTCTTCAGGGGAAGTTATTTCTCCCGGTTCCTTTGCCTTTTCAATAGTATCATCCTCTACTTCCCATTTTGATAGTTCGGGTAAAGGTGCTAGCATTTCCTTATTTTGAGTCGTAGCTTCTATATCTGCTTCTAGGTCCTCAGTTGGTGCTTGCAGTTCAATTCCATCAAACGGTTCATCTTTATTACATGATTCTAAAACCTTTTCTTCTGTAGACTCTTCGTTGCCGTCAGCCTTTACATAATTTTGTATTATTTCTTTGTCCACGGCTTCTGCTGCTTCATCACCATAAAGATCGTCGTTTGCTTTAGCAACAATAGGTTCTGTTTTAAGACTCTCTTTCCCGCCGATTTCAGAACGTTGTTTTTCTACTTCATTATGTTTTACCACATTATTTTCTTTTGGCACATTTTTTTCTAAATCTTTCAGATCAGTTTTGGATTCCATCTTTTCAATATCATCAATATCCTTTTTGATAAAGTCTTTTTCTTTCTTTTCTTTTTTATCGCGCTTTCTCTTTTTTTCAATATCCTTTTCCTTTTCTCTCTTTTTCTTCTTTCTATCTTTAATTTTCTTTTCCTTATCTTTGTCTTTATGATCTCTGCTCCGTTCAGCAGAATTCCTATCACGAACTCTTTCATCTTTCTTTTCTCTTCTGTTTTCTCGATCACGATCTCTTGAACGGCCTCTTGATTCACTTCGTTTCTTCTCACGTGGATCTCGGGTGCGCTTAGGAGAGGTACGAACTTTTTTATCCGGGGTACCTTTATCATGACCACGTTCTTTTTCCTTATCATAGTCTCTGTTTCTCTCATACTCACGTCCGCGTTCATCGCGTACTTCTCCCCTTTTTTCGTACACCTGCCGTTTTTCTAATTCTCTAGGTCTCTCTCCTCTTTCAGACGGAGGATCTCTGTTTTCATTAAATCTCTCCCGTTCACGTCCTTCCCTGTGTTTTTCATGTTCGATGTTTGGATTCCGTCTGTTTCCTCCCCTATTACGAGTATTGGAACGATAACCAGAGCGTATTACATCTCTGCCGGAATTATTTTCATCCCTATATCCCTCACGATAATTTGGATCATGGTAGTTAAGTGGAATAGGTTCCCGCGGGTCAGCACTCGGTGGACGATATGGTGCACCGGGTTCACGGAAATTAAGGGGAGGCACGTTTTCTCTGAAATTGCCATCCCTATACGGCACATTACGATATGAGTTATCTCGAAATTGAGGAGGTGGCCCTCCTCGAAAATTATCGCGATATGGTCCTTGTAGTCCCGGTTCCCGATATGGCTGACCTTCTCTAAATGGTACTGGACCTTGGTCACGGTACGGATGACCGGGTCTGAAATTATCGCGATAACGAGAGGGATGATCAGGCATGTGAACTGGAATCTCATTTTGTACCGTAGGTATCGGCAAATCCCGGTATCCAGATGGACCATCGCCATACGGGGATGGCCTATATGGATCTCTATACCCAGAAGGTGGTATTCGATCTCGTTCAATAGGGCCAGGTTGCCCAAATGAAGGCTTTTCGAACGGTGATGGCTCGAATCCAGGAACGGGGGGCTCCACGCCAGGTGGAACATCTTCAAATGGTGGGCCTTCAAATCGTCCGCGATACCCCGGCGGGGGTTCTGTTTGCACTGTGATACTTCCTAAAGGTGGTATAGGTTTCGCACCTAAAGGAGGAAATGAAGGAGGCGGTGCATTATTTCTCGGGCCATATCTGCGGAAATAAAATATACCTTAGATTAACATATTTTTGAAATCTAAAAATTGTGTGTGTTTGTGTGATCTTAACTTATTTTGCCTTGCGAATCGAACCTGTGTTTAAATTATTTCCTAATTTTGAGGACTGGATGATATTAAAAAAAATATTTCTTGGTTTAATATTACCAATAGATTTTTTTAAAATACTTCGACACAGGTCCACAAGAGGTAAAACGATTCTGTAATTTTCTAAGAATTTTGAAGACCTACCCATGTTTTGCACAGGTGATGAGGTATACATAAATGATGCTCATTTTTTAATTTTTCTCCTTGAAATATAATAATATATAAATATCTAACTATCGTCGAAAATACACAGAGCAAAGAAGAAAAATTCTAGAAAGAAAGGTAGACAGTCTTTTTATACCTAATATACAAAGGCAGTCTATATTCTTTATTAGGGGAAAAACATAATGATATATTTTATTGGTTTAATTTTTTGCAATGCCTTTTTTTTTTCAAATAAAGTTACCCTGTGAGAACTTATCCACAGTTCCAGCATCTCTTCCATGTAACCTGTAAAGGATAATTATTTATAATGCTGCAAAAATTACACTAAAGAAAGAAAAATATAATGCCATAAATATAAATTACAAATGTGTTACTTTTTAAGTAAGTTTCATAATAAACAAAACTATTATAGAAAAACCAGTTGAATATTACACATCTGCATTTAAACTTAATTAATATAAAATTTAATGAAATTTGAAACCCTACAACAGCTTAGAATTATAAAAAAATATTAACCTATTAATTAACTTATCCACTGATTTAGTTTTTTTTCCACATTAGCAATACTTTGTACAACAAATAATCGATTTCATTGTATATAAAAAGATTTATATATATAAACAAAATACATGATTTAATTTAATGCTAAATTTAAAGAACTAATTAAAAAATTGAATAAAATTTTAATAAGCATTTTATTTAAATTAAAAAATTAAGATAACAGTTTCCTGGAACAACTACTAGCACTAATTTTACAAAATTACCATAAACTAAAATGACAAAAAAATTAATCACAAGAATTGTAAAGAATTGATTATAATAATTTAAGACAATACTATGTACACCTATTTTATCTGTAAAATAAATAAAAATACCAGTTACTAAAAATGTTTTATTATATTTATATCAGTCAACAATAGGAACATTTATTTGCATTGATAAATATGTTTCTTAACATACCATAAGACATTCCAACAAAGTATTAAAATACTTAAAGTAATATTATATTAACAGACTTATAAAATTTGACAGGGAAAGAACAGGCAGAATTATATGTATTAAAGAACATTTCATTTTTCAATTTTCTGCATCTCTATAATCAATAAATATAATCTAATGTCTTGTATATATATACCACAAACTGTTTTTCAACAAGTCAACACAGCAGTAGCTTGTAAAGTATAATAAACATAATTTAGTTTATTTAACCATTTCATTTACATTAAAAGCATGTTTAACAATAATAATAACAGAGCACTTATTTAAGCGTTTTCAATGGCTATTATGGACTGAATGGTATAAATTTTAAAAATTATTTGGTTATCGTGAATACCAGCTTCTCAGTTAAAGCTAACCCAAACAAATAAACCAACCCAATTGTCTATAGTCTTAATCCGATCTAATTATTTAATCGGTATTTTATTTATTCAAAATCAATCTGTATAGATAGTAGCAAACGCGCAAGTCACTGATTGAGGTTCCGTCCTGGACATCGCCAAAGCAGAGGGATTGCAAAATTTTTATCATTGGCGAATAGGGAAATTCCATGTTGAATCAAACAAAAGATGAAAAAAAAAAAGATGTAAATAATGAAGAAAACCAGGGTTTAGACGAATGCTATTGCATTCGCCTAAACCTCGGTTTTCTTAATTTTTTCTCCCCGGTTTTCTTCATCTATCATAGATTGATGTACGCTGTGCAATAGAGTGAGTAGCAAAAAAATACAAACAAGCGCAACTAACCCCATATTTTTACCCGCCGATCTGATATTCCCTTTCAGGTGACCTTTGTATATAACATTACATTGTGTAATATTAAGTCTCCAAGGAGATGGGTTACCAAGAGAATCTTTTGATCCAAATACGAGCAGACATTTGTCGTTTAATGCGTAGATTGCTATAACTGTAAAATCTATTTAGATTTCCTATAAAAAAAATTTCGGCATACGTCACCGTATTCTCCCCACTAGAAGTATTTAATTGTAACAGTGTACAGCAAAAAATGTTGCTAATATGCAAAGTTATTAATATGCATAAGAAGCAGTGTGAAGCAAGTCATTACGGAATTTATTTATGAAATGGAATTTATATATGAATTAATCAAGTAAGGTGTATGTAGTCCGAGCTTAGATATTGCTGCGGACTAGTAGATGACAACTCTTTTTATCAAGTATCTACCCGTCCGTAGGTGTTTTATGTAAACCTAACGAAAGACAAAGACGACAACCATTTTGTTGGCGGACTACGAGCTTTCTGAGATCGGGTGCTAGCTGTTAAGAATGGACTCTATCATTATTCAGCTAAAATACGCCCTCAATGCGCCTAACCACCAAACCACCTAGTGCTACTAATGGATTTGGTTATGAAACCATTCACCACTTCTAACGCTTTGAGCTAGTTTTAACCAGAAAACTCGATGCGTCGGCACCACTTTTTATAATTTGGGAGCAGTTCTTCTGGAGCATGGTCCATAACGATAAGCAAGACTTATTGCATTGACTAAGCAGTTTTCTATTTCAAGTAGTGCACTCTGTGATTTTTCATACGATTTGGTTGGGCCGTAGGGAATGCAATTTTTATCGTAATTGCAATTTGGAGATTTCGTGGGATTTCGCAATTATCGAGATCTCGGGTAGTTTTCAAAAAAATATTTTCAAAATCGGATGATAAAAAACCGATGAAAATTGCTTGGTTGTGATCATGAGATCGTGGGATAAATAATAATGGTAATAATAAAATATTAATTCAAAGAAAAAACCTGTATACTGTATACTCACTAATTATCCTATATATTTTAGAATCAACCAAATCAATAAAAGAACACTGCATGTCCCGGCAGCTGTGAAAGAGATGGATTACACCATCTCTTTCTTTATGAGTATATTATTTTCTTTCCGTACGTTCTTCCGTTCAAACGTTTCGTTCGCTAGGCAATTGATTTTTTTTTAAATTACTCAAATCGACCTTTTCACAATAAAATGAGACTATGGGGCGACCCCATAGTCTAATTCGACGATCCCAAAAGGAAGCGGTCACATGAAAGGGAAAATAATTTTTAAATACTGACAATATGTTTTCTTTTACGCGAGAAGGTGGCAAGCGCGTTGGCGGTTCACCTGATGTTAAGTGATAACCGCTGCCCACGGACATTTGCAACACGCCTAGGGTTGAAGATGCGTTGCCACCGTTTAATAAATTGGGCCCCAGCTACCTCACTTACCAGACAAAACGCAGAAGTATGAGAATACCACTTCATACCGGTCTTCTGTGAGGTCGTGGTACTTACCGGGGCGAACATACCTATTTGCGCGCATATCGAAGCTGTTGCGCGGCCCACCACGACTTGACTTTGCCAATGGAACAACTCTTTTAAAGGAATCCAAAACAAAATCGTACTACTTTTTAGTAGAGTAATTTTATGTACGATAGATTCTAATTATTTTTCGAACGTAACTCGAATGTGATATCGTATTCATGTAAGAAACCACTACCCTTACATAACATAATAAATTATAGAACGCATGACATTTTAAGCTCGACCTAAAGGCAGGGACATCACAAATTGTTGTTGAATTATTGTATGTTTCTTAGAGCCGATATGTTGATCCTTTATGGAATATTTAGTCAAGCTAGTTAACAACAACAATTGGTGTATTACATTTAGCAGATACACATTACATTTACATAACATTACAATTTTAAAATAAATGCTCACACAATAACATTTAACTTAATTTAAATATAACCTTAAAAAACTATAAACAATACAATATAACACTCACAACCTTAGTAAACATAAAGGTTTAACGTTGAAAGCAACAGTAATTTCATTAAAGTACCCTGTAATTTACAATATTTTAAGTTATTTTTGAAATAGTTACAAAAACACAGTTCATTGGTTATCACAATCCACTAACAATAATCACTTAGATAAAAGCAACTTCCCTTTGAAAATCCCGACTCACCAGCACTAGTTAAGACAGTCTAATTACTTTTGGATTACGAGAAGTAAGAAATTATAATAGTAACGCAAAATTCGACAAAAGCTATAACACATCTCTTATTTCTCTAAGAGAATACAGTTTTGAGATACTAGGATCACACTGAATTTTTTTAGAACGGGAACAAATACAAACATTGCCAATGAAAACATCTCCATCACATATGAACTCTTTGGCAACCTAATGTGATATTGCATTCATTTGATAGTAGTTTTTGTGAATTTCGGGCAATTCCAAATCTTGTTACGCCTCAAAATCAGTTTAATGCGAGAAAATGTTCAGTAAAATGTGGCCTTAATCGACAACAAAGCTGTATACTTTGAGTGGCATTTAATACTGAAGCCTCATTCCATGCCACAGTTTACAAATTGTTTTATGAGTTTATGCGTGAGCGTAGCAGTCTCAATTATGATCTGCGTGAGGGATATCCTTCAACAGCGACGTCTAAAGATAACATCAGTGATGTGCGACGCATGATAGATGAAGATAAGAGTGACCCACCAGAAGATTCGGGCAAGCTTAGGCATTGATATGAGTCAACTAAAATAATATTACACGACTCTTCATATGACTCTTCATACAGAAGTCCAGAAACGCAGTCGCATGGATTTGTGTCGCGAAATGTTAGAAAAGTTCAACGGAGATATATAATGCAGTCATAACGATATGCTGATAACCTGAAACCAAAAGACAATCTGCTCAGTGGGTGTTTCCGTTTTGGGATC